TTCGTTAATATTTATTCTTATATTGTCTTGGAATGCTTCGTGGTGGTACCGTTCTTTTTAGCTTTTGTATTCCTGCAGAAAAAAGGGGCGTAGTGTGTCTTTGTGTTGATTTTAGGCATTCACTTTATCAATATTATTCCTGCATTAGACTCGAATAGTACACCTTTTCCATAGATTATTCGATCTTCTGACCGCTATTTAGGCACCTGTGTTTTTATTCATTCCCCATAAATGGCAAATAACAGTAAACTTATGGCACATCCTTCTCATTATTATCGTTGCTCGTAGCAAAACTTATCTCATTTGCAGAGCTTAGATGTTGAACAACAAAGGTCTAAGTTCGTGTGCTTTTATCAAGTTTTTACTTTGCTTAGCTCAGTGTACGCTGATTATGTAATGGGGAGCGTATCTGCGGCGGTGTGCGTATCTCACTTTAACCCGTACTTGTCTAATTAGCCTCGCATCTTGCTAGGTAATAAGGAGAGAAAGTAGCTTCATTTTAGGGGTTTCTTTTCACAACCTCGGATGCGTGTGTGTTGAAGCATTTTCCCCCATATCATTTGCCCGTGCTATGATACACATATCTTCTTTTGCATTTAGTGTCATATTTATTTTGTTTTTATGAGATGACAGTGGCTGATTAGAGGTAACTCTTTACTTTATAACTGTATCGGAAATAAAATAAACTTAATTTTATCATCGCTAAAATTTAACATCAAAGTTTTTCATGACTCCATGTCTAAATGTATTTATTAAGAATTAGGTTGAATGTAAGCGACGAAATACGAAATTATTCGTACACCCCTTTCTTTTCAATATTTTCTTGAATAACTCGAAAATTATTGCAGAAGCCTAAGATTAGGCTGACAGTATGTAATAGGAAAAATAACACTACATTTTCAGAACAAATGTAATTTCAAAACGTTTTTAACATACAAAAATTCTCCTTCTCCAACACCTTAATTCAGACACACAGATATCATATATTAGATCGCACAGATATAAAACACTAGCATTATACTAAATGTTAGCTGGACTAAATTACACTCGCGATTTACAATAGATTTATTTAGCACTTTGTCCGTCAAAATATCCCTTTTCACCGTCTTGTTAGAGACGCGTCTGTGATTCTCATGATGTGCCCATGCATATAAATATAACTTTTAAATTACAGTGTTCTCTCACTGATATTCGAAAGCAAGTTTAAATTTAGTTTGGTAAAAAAGGAAACTTTCGTTGCGTATCAATATTTGAACCCAGAAAAGCTATAGAAAAATGGTTGCAGCGTGTGAGGGTCCGGGCTGTCCGTGTTCCAGCTTTGAAGTCTTTGAAGGGACGCAAACTGTCTGAGAATTTTGACCAGTACGCCTTGCCTGCCCCGCTCACTCCTATGTTTCTAACCCAAATTTCTATTCCTATTCGTGAATTTTTGTCAAGGTTTTGTATTTATATTTTTCATGATTTTGTCTTAACACTAGAAGAGCATCGTTCGCTAACAAGTTTAGTGTTCAATGTCACCTAATGCTACAGTCATATTAAAGAATCTAATTTGTTTGATTTTTTTCTGGACTTACAGCTCCTGCCATAAGTTTTGACGTTGTGAGAATTCATCCGTTTGACTTCTTATGACAATGCCAGATGATAATCTTAATTATATACATTAATTATCTTTTTGCTTATTCCCAAATGAGATGACTGTTGAAATATCGTAGTGCGCCTTTCAGAGATCATCTTTGCTTTTAAAGATCATTTGCTTTTAGAAATTCTTACCGTTTCAACGGTATTTACTAGTACGACATTCCAGCATTATAGTATCCGACATCGTTCATTCATGTTAATTGCAATCAACCAATAAGGCCTGCTACATCAGGTGCTGAAAAACTGTTGCCTATTTAATAGTTCTATGGTAAGACACAAGAAAAGATTGTAATAAATGTGGAATAGGGACTTGAACTTATCTGGCTTTTTATAAAATTCCAGCCCGAATTAACCATTGCCTTAATTATTGCGGTGAGGGGACGCATTATTATTAGTGTGTTTATGAGCAGCAAATGAAGAGTATATAACTCGAAGATCGGCTGTGCTCAGTGCGTGATAGGGGATGGCGAGTTGGGATTATAGATCGCGCGTGTATTAAAGCCTTGCAGGAACATATTTCCTCGCACTCGAAACACATGCGAACATACAATTTGTGTTGATACAATTAATACTCGCAAGTCGCACGTACACTGTAACACCTGTTCACAAAATACGTGCACCAAACGTACGAGCGAACAGATCTCACTTGGGCCAGGCTGAAGCCAGCTGCGTCAACAGCTGTGACGCTGCTGCCATCTATTCAGAAATTTTTTGGCATTTGTGTGTTACTCATGAAATTACTGTGTATTGTACAGATTATACCAAGAGATATTGTTGAGCCATCTTTTCCAGTCTCTTAAGGGACGCATTGTGAGTTCCTATTTAATAAATTAAAATAACTTTCCACAATAAGTTCTCCTATTAATTCCACTATGTACATAAGAATATATTCTTCCACGTTTGGTATGCGTATCTCATGTCTTATCTTAATTCTGGCATTTTCCTTTTAAATCCTTTTAAATTTGAGTTTGTCTCAAATAAAAAGTTTTCATCTAAAGAAATTGAACACACTTGCCTAAGTAACTCTGGATTGTGAGCGGCACTGACAACAGTGACAAGGCAGTTGCCACTTGCATGTTGGTGCGGGTGCTCACGCGCCGCTCGCCATGTTCGTGACAGTGTTCCTAAGCGTGCTCGTGCTGCTGCTCCTCACGAGCACTACGCTCGTTTTGGATCAGTTCTTCGTGTGTGGAATTCCTGCTTCGCAAGTAGACTAAAATTTTACCGCCGAAACGCAGATGTTGATCGGAATTGACGTGACTTTTAAGTGGATCGATCAGTCGATTAGTTGCGTTTTTAGAACGTACGGTATTGGAATGAAGTGAATGAAATTTGGAAGTGTTAAATTTTGGTCCCTTACACGATGAATTAGACTCAAGCATGAGCTTAAAAATATTCCATGCGTTTCTCATATACAAACAGATGTCGATGATATTCAGCCCCGATAAAGGCTTAATTATTAAACAAGATATCGCAGATAAAACCGATATCTCGGTGTTTTTGATCGTACTCTTCCTTATCGATGTTCACTGCTCAGAACACTTGAGTGCTACGAGCAAAAACTCTTAACTTGGTCTCTGAGTGAAACATGAACCTTATCATTATCTTTATTTACCTGGGAGATAAGAACGAAATAATTGTTTACATCCAAGTAAAAAAGAAGACAGCATTTGTTGTCTGCAACACTAACTGAACTTTGTGCTATCATGCCGTCTGTGGTGAGTCATATTAATTAATTCACTGCTGAAAATATCCTCGGGCTTTTTCTTTAACGTGAGGTATCGTGTGCGCCATCAATAATATATAGGAATCAGTGAATATCCCTCCGTTTATAACCTAAAACAAATGTCAAATGTCGATCACGATAAAAAAATTATTCAGTTGCTTGCGATCAAAACTTTTTTATATGGATGCATTCTGAAGCTTCTTGACTTATTGATCATAATAATTCTTAATTACCGCCCCTCCCGTGTGTGTGGACGTGTGCTAATCTTCTGTAAAACTTTCTTATTGAGGGATGAAAGTGTAATTATCAATATGTAAATAAGAGTGCTGTTGAACAAACATTTATTGTACTTGCGAAATGATATTCATTATGTTATTTTAAACATGTTGTTAGTTCCTCATTCATGACAAGAGACGCGCGTATCACGTACGGAGGGAGCTGCGGGCATGAGTTATCCAAGACGCCATCAGCTTACGACGAGACACACAACAGCCCGCATGTTCTCTTGAGACTATTTGTTTCTGTTCATACTTGCGTGCGTGATCTGAATAATTGGTCGAATTAGATTCATATTTTCTCTATTTATATTTTTAATACTTGCATTCCTATTTCTTCGTCATCAAACCATTTTCATGCCAATGCATGAAACCTTGCTCATGTCATTGCCAGATGAGCTACAGTAAAATTAGGTGAACTTTCAGATGCACTGTAGGGCTTTTAATCCTCCAAAAGTCCTTCAATCACAAAGAAACTCGGCGGAAGAATATGTATGATCATTTAAGTTTGACATTTTAGCTTCAAAGAAAGAAGTCACGGCGCTGCGGATGCTCTTTTGATTATATTACGTTGAAGCTCGAAATTTCCCCATCTATAATATTGAAAAAAAATATTTTTGTCCTATAATAGTCGCTTCGCTGTTGTATTTTTATTCTTTGGTTTCATTTCTGTTGTATTTTCAATTCTAATTTGCCTCTTTAAAAGCAACGTTGAAACCGATGACTCCTGCTTCATTTCAGAAATGTTACCCTTGTAGTTGAAATGATGTTCTTGTGCCTCATAATAACGTATTGTTCTGACATTGCGGTGTTTAGAAAACGAAAATTATTATTGTTTATTGTTCCAGTTTCACTCTTCAAAATTCGCCCATTCGCTTTTTTCACTTATTTTTCAACAATCGTCATTCTATTCCAGTACCATTTATAATATGCTGTTGCGCATGGTAAATAAATACATCTACATTCTGTAACACATTGTACAAACTCGTTAATTTCTTGGCTTTAAATAGCGTTTTGTTCATGAAATTTTTCTAAAAAGTCACCGGTTACCTCTCGACGGCCTTTTATTTTCATTCGAACTGTTCGTATAAAACGAAAGTCCGTCTTGCCATTTCAATATTTACTTTAAACATCAACTTTGGGAAGCACTATTTGAAATTTCCAGCTGCCTGTCTCGAACGAAAAGTACTTTGAATACTTTTAAGACACATATGCTTTGGCAGACTGGCGGCAACACAGGAAATTTTAGTGTTGAATTTTTGTAATTTTTCGATCATTAAAGTTGTGAAACGAGAAATTAAGAAACTGGAATGGCTGCATCGATACGTAGGAATGATTGCGTACAATTTCTTGCTTGACAGGCCTGGCGACGATCGAAGCCTCGCTGTATTTTGCCTCGTAGTGGAAACTTGGCCAACATCATCAACTCTTCTTCCAATAACAGCGTCATCAGCAACAGTAGTACCACAAACAGCTGCAATATCAGTACTCCAACCAATAGCTGCAACCTCAGTAACATCAACAGCTCGAGCAGCAGCAACAGCAGTGTCAGCAACATGGCTCCGCCTTGCTCACCCTCCATTGTTGCTGATGGCAGCAACAGCCATGCTGCAGCTGCTGCTTCGGTTGCATCCAATGCATCCGTGCAGCTCATGAACAGCAGTAGTAGCAGCAGTAGTAGCACAATCAGCAACAACAACGGCAGTCTCACGAATGTTAGTGGAATCACAAACGTCAGTGGCCTTACTAACATCAGTGGCCTCACGAATGCCAGTAACTTGACGAACGTCAGTGCCCTCACCAACATCAGTGACCTCACGAATACCAGCAATTTGATGAACGTAAGCAACCTCACGAACACCAATGGAATCACGAGTCTCGGTAGCCTGACTGCAGAAAACGGAGCAGGTATCGTCGACCGCGACGAGAGCGACAACAGCGACGGCAGCAGCCAGAGCAGCAAGAGCCCCCGCCAAGTGCGTGGCTCCGGCCGTGGAGAGTCACCCAGCACGGCGCCCTCCACACCCATCAACCAGTGTGGGTCTAGAGACGACAGCACATCTACTCCCACTGGCCCGTGCGGGTCTCAAGATGAAAATTCCACGCCGCCTTTAGGGCAGGGGGAGTCTCAGGACGGGTCTTCCCCTAGCGCCACCTCGCCTGAAGTCACAGTCAATGGCAAAACCAAAGCCAAGAAGGTGCGAGGTGCCTTCATTGTGATCACCTCCGGCATGCTTGCTATAACCTCCCATTTGTTGTGACCTTCCATTTGTTATTATCTGCTCGCATTGGTTATAAACCGTGCCCATTCTTTATAACCTTGCCTCATTTGTTATTACCGTTTTCAATTAATTTTGACCATTGCTCATTTGTCCTGCCCTGTTCCAACCTATTAAAACCAGCGTCCTCTGCTATGAGATGCATCTCGCAATGCCCTCATTGAAATGTGATGTGATATCAGGAATTTTCCTGGCATGCTCATGAATGTCAGCGTCCTCTTTCTTTGCCCCTGATAGTGACTCGCGCTTTGTGTTACGAGCTGCGTACATTATATTTAGCAATTATTCCTGATGCGAAATTATTTATGTGGCCTACGCATCCCTGATATAACCTGCGTCTCCAGCATCACACGCATGACCTGCTCTCGTAATAGGATGACCCGCCGCATTCCTATAAGGAATTTTGTTCAATTTTGCCACCCATTTGAATTTGAATTATTACAGGTAGTTTATTATGCTCCAAATTTGAGATATTTTGCTCATGTTACGAAGTTGAGCGTTAAGGTAAAATTTCTATGAAATTTGAGTGTACTAATTGTTAGTGTGATTGTCCTAGAGCCTTGCATGAGTAGAATCGTTCTAGTTCAAAGATCCAAGATTTCTTTGATCTAAGTTAAAGAATTTTAATTTACCAATTTCGGATATGAAAAAAATCTTAGTTGCGAGCATGTATATCGTTCTATTGAGTTACCCCATGACCCGTGCTTCGTTTGTGATGCTTGTTAGCGCTTTACGTCACATTCAACGTATATGTTCCATCCGAGGGAATTATAAAAATCTGCTGATCCCCTTTTAAATGTGATTGAACTTTTGTACTGTCAAAGATTCATCGTGTTACGATGCATGCGGTGATGCTTAATAGAATTGATCAGTTTCCTAAATTGATTGTTATATTATTGTATTTAGTGACGCAGAATGTTTTGAAGCAGTGTTTTGTTGAGGTGCATATGAAGTACATTTTTTTCCATCAGCGTTCTTCGACATCACATATTTTACAGAATATTATATTCTATTTTAAAGCGGCTTTGTGTCACATTAAAGATGAGTTTGATGAAATCTGTTTCGCTTATAAAATTATATTTGACTATGTGTGTAAATTTTTAACCTTTAAATATATACTCTTATTTTCCAGGAAAAAGAAGCGGCGAAGAAGAAAGGACGCTCCAAAGAAGGTACGATGAGTATTATGTACATAACGCTTCTAAGAATTTACCTTCATTTTTCACCAGTTCAATTATTTCACGTGTTTTGCACCGGTAAATGTAAAAACACATTCAACTCCAAAAGCTCCATACAAGCAGCAGCATCTTTAATTTAAAATGACAATTAGATATGGAACCCGAAAATTGCTTTTTCGTCTCTAAATTAAACACTAAAACTTATCATCCATCGTAAAATTAAAAGGCAAAATGTTAATCCTAATTAGGAGAGAGGCTAGAAAACGTTGCTAACGTGCACTTCTGCTATGTGCAGTTTTGCGATTCCTCAAGCTATGTATAACCGACCGGTCATTGATCTGGATCCATAAAGCCGTTAATCAATAAAAAAATTATGAACACTTGACTATTCATACTGGATATAAAGCTGATGTGCTACCTAATAACTCATAATTTTTTAAAAGAGACTCGCTTAAATCGAAATTCACAGTTTGTTCTTCTTAGCTGCTGCGCACTATACAGCACATGCGTACGTTGTTTCTTCTCTAAAGACTCGGAACACCTGTGAGCTCTTGGCCTCCACCAACACACGTTTACGCTCTGCACTCTACGGTGGCTTGTTCATGCCTCGTGCTCTGCTCTTATTTTTTTGACATCACGCGCTTTCGAATATTTCTCTGGATTCGTACTATCAAATCTCTCATAATTACACGTAACGGCTTAAGTGCATTTAGTGGCCGACTTCTCGTCTGTTATTAGTGGATTTTGCATGAAAAGCTCAGAGTTATGAACTCCTCATTATTATTGATTATGCGGTTCACACACAGTAATGTAAATTATTATTAAATAACTGTGATTCTTGATGTTAAGCGATAAGCTCTTAATATTTTCTCAATTGTGGAGATGTTCTTATGTTGCTGTTTTTAACTTGAAATTTCGCCTGTAAATTCGAGTAAAATTGTACTGCTCATCAGCAAAGGGAGAATTCTGAACTTAGTTCACGTAACGGTTTGAAATTTTTTTATATGTACATTGATGAATAGAAGAATGCGGAAGTTTTCTGTCCGAATTATGTCCTTATAATGGCCTGGATTGCGCCAAGCGTTCCCACTAACATTCTCTTGTTAATGGATTAGAATTTCCTCACCTGCATCATTGCGTTCCACTCACTTCTATCACTTTTAATGAATGAAATTGCCTTTTCACATGACTTCTTATCTCGGCAAATATGTCATCACCACGATCATATCCTCGTCTGAGACTTTTTATTCTCACGCCATTTACAAGTATTTTTAATATTTGTATAGAAAATTCGATATTTTTTATTACCCAAATCACAAATGGTGCGTTTAACGCTCGATTTCTTTTGCCTCAATCCGTTCTTGCACTGGTCACCTTCTTCTTCTCTTCGTGCTGCGGTAAGTTCTTCTACAATCTTCTTGTTGAGAATGTCTCTTGTTAACAAGTTTATCAAGTATTTTGTCTCGCGTCCTCGACATTCTTGTTTCCCCCACAATTGGCATTAAGTAATATCCGTGGCCCTACCTATAATCCTGTATCCTGAAATGTGACATCGCTTTGCCAGTCTGTGCATTGTTGTGGTTAAGTATTTTTTCCCCTTCAAGCATTGAAGTCGAAAAAATATTGGCATTCTATTTCTGAATCCAATTAATCGACTTTAATTCGATAATTGAACTGGTTACTTTTTATTGAGGTGTTGAAGTATTTGTATCATTGCTCTAGAACAAGGAAAGTCTTGAAACTTCCCAGCAGGCGATGTCAGGTTGAATCAACGTTGAAACAACATACTTCGCGACGTTGTAATAACGTTGAATATTAGTCAAGAATGAAAAGTGAAACAACGTCATTTTTTCAACCTCCTACATTTCGACGTTGTTTCAACGTTGAAATCGCGTTTAATTCTGACGCTAAAAACGCATTTATAAAAGGTTTCATCAGGTTTACACGTTCTATCATGAATGCTGCAATATATGAGCACCGTATTACAATGAGCTGCATTTATTAAATATATAAATACTATTTGCTACTATATGTACAATAAATATTGTACCCTGCGCACGCTACCTAGCTGCAGGCAGGTGGTGACGGTATGTGTTGGTTATTTTAAACATTCCACATCTTCAATTGTTCCTTCTATGAATATTAAAAGAAATTAATTATATCTATATAAGTTAGGCACAGAAGTTACTTTAATAAGTTATGATGTAGAAAATTGGGTCAATAAATAGCTCTTAATCTCGCTTACGATGCAAGGTGCACCGTGATCTGGTGGGCAAAGGCGAAGCACGTGAGCCAGAGGTCCGGGGTTCCAATTCAGCTAAGGTTGATTTGATTTATTCAAGGGAGAAGTAAAGTTAATTTAATATATTGGTAGCAAATAGTATTTTTATATATCGTAAATGCAGCTTAATGTAGTACGGTGCTCGTATAAAGTGACATACACGATAGAACGTGAAAGCCTGACGAAACATTTTATAAATGCGGTTTTAACGTTAGAATTCAACGCGATTTCAGCGTTGAAACAACGTAGAAATGTCGGTGCTGTAAAAATTACGTTGATTCACTTTTCATTCTGGACTAATATTCAACGTTATTTCAACGTCGCTTAGTACGTTTTTTAAACGTTGATTCAACGTGACATCGTTTGCTGGGTTATGTTTCAGTAATCGTAAACTCTGCTTTGTTGTTTCTTTATCAATTTACTTGAAAAAATTCTACGCACCCCCCCCGAAACCTATAGATGAATTAATCGTCAAAATTTTACGAACCTCGAACTCATTAAGTTCTTTAATTAGTTTTATTTGACCGTGAGTTTAATTTCAAAGCAGAATGCAATGCTAATATGAGTCACAATTGTAAACATCACGCAAACAAACTTTTTATTTATGATTTCTAAATCAAGCCTAAACACGAGTCAATCACTATGTTTTCATATGCATTTGGGATGTGGAAAAACTAGTCTCATACCGTTATTGTTGAGCTACTTCAAAAATATGTGTTTCCAAAGTTGATAAAGCTGATCAATAAAATGAGCTCTCTCAGTTGACAGATCTTATCAGTAATATTATATTTCAAATTTGACCGACCTAAGAGACAAAAAATATACATATGTGTGTGATTCTTTTGAGCTGTGCTGCGGCTTCATCGCAGCGACATATAAATAACGTCTTATGGTGTTGGCTAGCGTTTGATTGTGATGTAAGAAATAGGATGTGCTAAGTGTTCATTTAACTTGTATGCTATTTTTCCCGTCATTGTACTGAATGTATCGTTGTTATCAAGTTTCTATTGCTTACTGCTACGCATGTTGAGGTTCTTTCAAGAATTCAGTTCGGTTGCGTCTGTGCCATTATAGTGTGCGTAAGAGAATAAAATCAGCTGATGTATTCTAGGTTCCCTACTTTCCTCTTCTGCATTTAAATGTGCCGCTACAGTGATTGTCTTAAATATTTGTCTTTTAAAAATTTACCTAAGACCGAATTCGTTTTTCTGTTATTTCATTTTCTTTCCTGTACATTATTAGCTGCTGTCACAACTTTTCTATTTTAGTCAAATGACACGTTTAGATTGTTAATATGTGTTTAAACAATCTCTATAAACATGGCCGTGCTTGCAGTTCCCCATCATTGCTTAATTTGAAACGTATAATTTATATGAATTAGTGCATGTCGCTTACATTCGTCGTCCGCTCGTCATTATTTTAGCAGGTCCCCCTATGCCCTAATATTCAAACTGTGATGTTATTTTTTTACTTATAGACTCTGGATAATATTGAGGCTTGAGAAGTATTAATGTGGCGAAATAATGAATGATTAGTATCCTTTTTTAGTAATTCCGCACTGTTATTGGCATTCTAAAACTTAAGGTTTTAGTAATGTATGGGACTAGCTTGGGCCCGCTCGCTGGAGGGAGAATGATGTGTTCCACTAGAGTTATGGTCTCTTGGCAGGATTAGTTGGCCTGTCAAGCTGACAACGACACATCGTCTCTTAATTTATTGCCTCCTCTTGACGAATAGTTTCGCGAAATTCCTCTCTTCGCTATTGCTCCTCAATGATATGTCTAGAGTTATTTTCCTTGTACTTCTTGTACCATTCTACTAAATGAATGATACTTAATTAAATCTTCATAAATTAATATTATACAATTTCTGTCCGTTGAACTCAGTTTTGTTTGATTGACAATTTCGCGTATAAATATCATCTTTCTCACTGGCCTCATTTCTTTAAAATCGCGAAGCCTACCTAAATATTTCCTGTTCAGTACTTCTCTTTGATATTTGTGCCAGTAGAATATTTTTAAAGCCTTAAAAATTAAAGAAATTTGCGGTAAAATTGCATTTGAAACTTTGTGTTTATTTCAACGTGAAAGGATGAAAATGAAAATATTCAACTCGCTTCAATGTACAGATAATATATAAAAAATTCGAATATTGCCGTGCGACTTTCATAATGTCGTAGCGGCTCAAGTTTTCTTTTGTTCTTGTAGCAAAAATAGAATCACTGATATTGATGCAGCTGTGGGAAATTTTTATGGCACTCAACACAAATAGTATGCGTTGTTTAGCAACCGAAATTAATGACGTTGTTTAAACTCTTTATGTTGTTACAGTTGCTCAGGACGTTGCAGCACATTATTCATTCTGCAACAAGTAATCGAACTTTGCATACCATAGAAACTATCGATGATGTATCAGAAACTTCTTACTAATATACGCATCAAAAACGGAACTAGGATCACTCACGAAATTCAGTTTGATGACGCTATATGATTAGCATTAGGTTGCAATTGTTCGTCAAACTTCTTGTTTCACTTCTTATTATCATTGTAATTCAAAATATATACCTCATTGGCATGTATCGGAAATTGCTAAGGTCCCAGTTATTCTTACAGTTACGCAGTCACGTGTCGCAATTATCATCATCACTGCCTCTCAAAAACTCACATTATTGAGGCTGTCGCAATTCTTGGCATCACCGTGGACGAAATTTCAGCTTGTTTTGGTTGTTGCAGTTGTGGTGCACGAACCTGCAGTGCTGATCGAGGGCGTGCTGTTCCGGGCGCGGTACTTGGGCAGTACGCAGCTAGTGTCGGAGGGGCAACCCACCAAGACTACACGCATGATGCAGGCTGAGGAGGCCGTCACCAGGATCAAGGTGAGCACGGCGCACTTGTGGGGGTTACTATTGCATCTTGGGGACTTGTTTGTGAGAGACTTGAATGACGAACTGGTATGTGAGAGACTTGAATGAGAAACTTGTAGGTGAGAGACTTGAATGACGAACTTGTATGTGTCTACGCGAGATACACACATTGAGGAACTCGTACGCGAGACGCTGTGTGGAGGACTTGTGAATGGAAGATGGAGTTATAAAATCTTTCTACGTGAACGAAATGTTACAAATAAAAGGCTTAAGCGTGAGCAATAACATGTTATTTTCATTCATAGTTAAATTAGAATGTTTATTTAGTATTATGGTAAGATCATCTTGACAAAGACCTCTTAAATTGACATCTTGTTGAATGGAATTGTGTAGACAATATATAGGTGACAAAGGCTGTTGAATGGCGGCATATATAGCATCTATTCGTAACCAAGTCTCAGAATGAATTCAAGTTCTGAAACGCATTATTTTTTAGCGTGATGTTGTGTTGATGGTGGAAGCTGTTCTAGGCTGATACACATATGTTGAAAATGTTTGGGTAAGGAAATTGTGTCCATGCGTGCCATGTTTACGGATCGGAGATTACGGTGGTCAGTGAAGTTGTCCATAGGAATATGTTGGCATCGCTTCAAGTTTTTGCGAAGAATTAGTGCATTAATGGTTATGCACGAATATTAGATTACGTCAGTTATAATTTTAATTATAATCGGTTATAATGAAATATTCCTGACGAAGATTCAAATTGATTGAATCGCAATGTGAAAAGTTTCCAAGAAAACTAATTACAGGAGTCTGAGCGAAATAGATTTAATTTACTGTAGAGACGTATTTTCTTCAATTTCCTTGCCTGATAAGGTGGAATATTTTTCTTAGAATATTTCGTTTGCTGAGTGGGATCTGGTATAATTGTTACAAATACTTTATACTTATGAGCTCCGAATCGATTGATTTTTACTTCGAATAACATTCCAAAGCACAATTGCTATCAATTTAAAAACTATTCAAAACTTTTGAGAGTTGCTAAGAATAACTTAAACATAAGTGCTGTTATATTTTGAATAGTCGCTATATTAATTGTACAGTTACTGCAAGTTTATGTTCATTACAAGTTCGTATTTATTTTTAAATCTTTGGTCGTTGATATAGATTAGTTTACGCAATACTTTAGAAGTGGCACGTGTAGAATACCAAATTAGTATTGATCACTTTAACTTGCGATTCTTTATCTATGCCATCAATACGGAGACGTTGTTTCGTTTATTAATGCACAATAGCCGTTAACCCGGCAATTTCTAAAAGTTATTCACACCGACACTAATCAGTAGTCTAGAATTATGAGTTAATGTTTTTTTCAGTTATATAACACCTTCACTAATTGAAATAATTGCAAATTTCTGCACTTTTTATGTGTGCTGTGAAAATTCTCTCATGCGCCGCCATCCTAACACTTAGAAACTAATGATTATTATTATTATTATTCAATTTCCTTCAATTCTCAATTCATCTGCACACAAATATTTTCATTTTATGGGCTGTTAATTCAAAAGTGGCAAATTTTCCCAACTAAGTTAAGCTCTATTATCGTTCAAATATTCTCGTTGAAAAACTTATTAATATAATTTTCTCACTACCGTGCTGTTCCTACACGTGCTTCTCATTAGCTCTAAAGCTTTGTTTCAGCACCGCGGCATTAATAATCTTTTGGATCTTACGCGCTTTGTAGCGGAATTATCTCTCCTATAAAATTTTTAGCTTCCCTTATATTATGAGATTTTGAAAATTTTACATCCACGAAGAATTACTTAAATCATTTCATATATAGCTTTAGGATGATGATGAATGAGGTGGCGGCGCACTGTTTAATGCTCCTGGAATTAAGAGCCAGGGCGTCTTCGATAATTCCTCTAAATCCCGAGCGATAGTTTACGATTAAAATAGTTCACAGTTAATTTCTTCTCTCCTTGACTGTGTTTCTCCTTCCCTCTATTCTCTTCTTCCATCCTCCTATCACTTTCACTAGCTTACGCACGTGCATGATTATTCATAGTGCTTGCTACTTGCATTGACTGCTTTAAAATGCTTCTAAAACAAGTTTTTTTCCACAATTTTCAGCAAATTTAGCATGGAAAATCTCTAAAGAGTTGCTTGAAAAAATTAAGAATTGGCGTCTTAAATGCATATAGAATGATGTTGGTTTTGCTCATAAACTTGTTTAAAACTAATTTAATAACCCAACGAGAAAATGCGCGATTAGCACTTTCACATTTGCACTTTTGACTGTCACGCTGAAGTTAGCTTGGTGGCGATCAAGCTAAAGAGTTGAGACTTTTTTTCGAGTTCAGCTGGACTCTTTAATCAGTTCAAAGAAATCAAGTACATTGATTCACTCGGCAAACTCGAATGATCTTCTAGTCTTGGCTTTGGAAGAGTGATCCTCAATCAATTCAATCAAGTGGCCTGTCTATCTACTCGAACGCATGCATCGTCCTGTTCAAAAATGTGTTTTTAACGGTCCAGGAACTAAATTCCCGCGTTCATCACTTTGGTAGCTCCTAATGTTTCGTCTGTAAGACCAGCTGAAAATGGACAAGAATCATTGTTTGGAGGAAAAACTTTCTTAATTTGTTATGGAGAGTTCTGAGTCTCGATATTTTCACCAAAGTGAGTGATAGCGTCCTGCCCTACTGCGGAAATTCCATTATAATAAAGAAGATTCATCTTAGTTGTAAAATTTTTCGACTTTAGTTGTTTTCTCAATCTCTTTAGCGTGCTCAATAACCGCTCTAATCTTTATGTTATGTGTTACTCACCTAAGAAAGCCTCGTATGCATACCTGAAAGTTAGTATTTCATGTATGCAAACTAAGCAGTTCAGCCTGCGTTCAAACCAGAAACAGCAACATTGATTTGGATTCTTGGTGATCCTCCACGTGCCTCGTTAATTTCTTTTATATCTTCCTGTTGTAGAATGTAGAATCGTAGTTCGACATTACCTTTAAAGTGCCATCAGTTTTGTACTCCCGTAAATTGTTGCTCAATGATATTCACCAGTCCGCATTTTGCTATCGTTTTGTTATTTATTACCACTGTTTTTACTCAGCCTTACCTCTGTTATTTCTCAGCGATTTATGCCGTATCCTTTTTTAGTACTCACTTGCTATGTGTTCATTTCTTATCAATTTTGAATTTTTTATCGAATTATTTTGCTTAGTTAATGCTTTTAGTTATAATTTGTCTTATTTTATGTCTGTTTTGCCTTCGTAGTGAAAGTTTTTCCATGTCAAATTTTCTCTTGTTTATCACCCTCAAATAAATTTGTGTTTAACTGTGAGTGTAAGTAGTAAATTTCTTGAGTTCAACTATACCCTCATATTCTTCCACAAGAATTTATTCGCCATTTTTTCTCGGATTGTATTCTTCATTTTGCGAACATTTTTCTTTCAATTTTATGTGCATGCCCGTCCAACTTGCGACCGACTCTCGTAACATCGAAGACTACAAACCGAGGTGAGTTACGTGGCCTGATCAGTCTTGATGCAAGACATGCTTGCTAATCAAGACTCTAATTAACGCGCGTTAATTCACTGAATAATTTGGTGATGGGGCACCTGAGACCAAGTGCGTGCGCCGTTGAACGCTGCCTTCATGCTTACTTGACCAATGCTCTGTGTTTTGGTTGGTTATATTTGTTATAAATTTCATTATTATTATTATTACTATTATAGCAATTGCCTTCTTTTTTATCATGGTCGTTCTCATTCATATCTTGTAGTCAATAAGTTCTCTTTATTTTGTAGCCTGAACGAAGTCTTTCTCTTCCATGATTTCTTTCTTGCCTTTCCTCGCTGAATTTGCTCCCCGAAACTGATTTATTCGTTTCTCATTTAATCCAGCAACGCTGTTTCAAGAAATAATGCTTGCGTTGCTCCCGCAATCTTTTTCTTTTTGTGTTAGCTCTCTGTCGTTCATATGGACATGAAATGATTATAATTCGTACCTGTTCGTGTTCATGGCTGATATGTTGCATGAGTGTCCGCGCTATCTTTTCTAATCATCGCCAAAGACATTTTTCCAACTCTACCCTCCCACCCCATGTTTCTCTAATAATTGACAGGTCTTCTAAAAGATAATACCTTTCTCCCCTTTCCTAATTACTCTCAACATACATTTTCTAATATTCTCTGCCAAGAAAATCGACGGTTCCACAAAAAAATACTACCTCTTTTCGTCGTGAACTGCATCATTTTCCCTTCTCATCTCTTTCTACTTCGAATTTTATGAGTTTCTAGCGGTTACTGTGATAGCCTTGAAAATTTTCAGTCTAGCTTTTTCTTTTGTTTCTTTTTTTCTGAAGGAAATAATCTTAGAATCCACTAACGGTTAATGATTAGGTCATGAAAACTGTTAGTTATGGACATAGTTGATCTTTCAATCTTTGTTGTTCAATATTTCGTTGCTTCAGAACCAACCAAAACATAACATTGTTTTGTCAGGAGGCAGAAGATCCGGATGAAAATATGACGATGCGCAAGAGTGACTCAGAGTCCTCAACAGTTAAAACAACCCCTTCGTTACTCCCAAGAAACGCATCTTCTGACAGAACTGCTACTACTATCCGTGAATTATCAGGCGTTGGTATGTTTCCGTCCGGCGAAGTTTCTGCAATTATTTGCGAACCATTTGAGTCTGAATCATGCATCCTGCAGGCTGAGCCAAACGAAACAAACATTAATTTACCGCAAGATGACCCTGCCGGAGATACTCGAAACTCTGAGGATCAAGACAAGGAAAACTGTACTACCAACTCGTCGAATGAGCTACGCGACGGGTTAAATGATATAAATGATATCGATGACGATAGAGACGAAGTGATTGACGAAGAGAATGAGGAAAAAACAGAAAATGATGTGATGGAACATCAAGAGCCTGTCGAACAATACAATCCACCTAAATATACTTCAGCGACTTACAAGCCAAAATCGCAGTACCCTCAAAATCGCAACATTCCAGAAATTTTACGTATTCAGGAAGAGCTTCTACCAGGCGAAGAGAAGCAAACACTACACGAACGCTTCTCAAAGCTTCAAGAATTTAAGAACAAGAGCATGGTCATCTCTGCATTGCCGAGGGTCAGTTCTTCTCCTTCAAAGAAATCCATTTCAATTCCTCGCGAGTATCGTAGGTCTCCGAAACAACCTCTTGTCTACGACGCTGACCCATATATGCTCGATTCTCGTTTTAAAACTACTCACTTATGGAAAACTCAAGCAAAAATATCCACTGGCGGGATAGCAGGAACTTCTGTAATCACGGTTCCTTGTGATGGCAAAGCTAATTTGCTGGGCGTTAAATCGGCTCCTCTGAAGTCTCCCTTACCTCCTGGAGTTCTTGAAGAGCCTATTTCACCATCTCGGAACAAATTGGATATTCATGGACAGCTTCTTGATTTCATCGAGGAAAGAAATGCAGCAGCGAATAGTAAACTTCATAAACATCTCTTACATTTCTTACCCGATAAGAAAATTAAAAACTTGAAAGAGAGATCGGGAACTCAGGATGAGTTACAAATGCTCACTGAACCTCAACCCGACGAAGATGGAGTGATGCTCTACGAGGAAGATTCCAATGACGGCATGGACCGTAAACTCCAAGAGTTCGACGATGATATCATTGAAGAGGAAGAGGAGGAAGAAGAAGAGGACCGTAAAGACAATGGAACTACTGCTAATGTTGGCCGTGCCATGGCAGAAGATGCTGAAAACGGAAACCTAGCTGATGCCATCGCTTCTGTCGGTCGGAATGGAGTGCGTCCTTCTGAAGCTTTGCAACATTCGCCTAACACTGATATAAGCTCTGATGACAACGACTTTAGCGAACAAGATGACAATTGCAATAACAAAGATACTAAGAACGTCCGTGACCTTGGCGACAACTGCGAAACCGACAAAGATGATGACAGTGCGACTGATGTTTCTTACTCTCGAAACGACGTGGGGAAAAAAACTGACAATGAAGTGCGCCCTCCGGAGTCTCGGACCCGAGGTTCCAATATTCGCCAGGGCTCAGTGGGGAACGTGGCGTGGATTGTAGATGGTGTGGGGGGTATAGGGGCGACAGGAACGGTCTTCCACTTACGTCTTGTTGGTTCCGTGGAGGTTTCCGAAGAACGTTGCGATGTGTCGGTGGGTAGTAAGAACATCACCACGACTGCCTCGGCTAATCCGGGCAAGCGTCCTAGGAAGGAAATGGTCACGGAAGCTGTGTCGAAGCTAAAGGTGTGTTGATAAAATGTTCAAATACTTTTTCGATGCACTTTGTCTTGTTTTTGCACACCTTAGCTAAGCTTGCACAAATTTTCGGTACAAGTGTAAGATGGTCGCTTTTGATAGTCCTCTATTCGGAAGTCGAAATAGCGTTTATATATTTATTTAAGATTTTTTCCTTTTCTTGTATGCAGTTTTCCCACTGATTGGCCCTTGTTTATCTTCTTACTGAATAATCTAAATTGCATGGCTACCGCCACCCTTAAAGTACTACGACATTAGATGTTCATAGAACAGTCATGATGGCACTGATTCATATTTTGTGGTCTATTTGTTTCGTAGTTCTTGATAAGGAGAGGTTATGCTATTCCGTTGTTACGCTGTCATCTACATTTAGTGTTTTTTTGTGTAACTGTAATTCTCATCATCGTGAATTCTTGTTCACTACGAGAGAACATTGGCTAATATATCGACTTTTTCTTGCATTCCATCGGTGGATAAAGGCTTTGGTAAGTGAATGTTATTTCCTTATTTTATAAATTATTTCCCTTTTTTAAATAAGAAAAGTGGTTACCCCGTTGGCTTCAGGAAAAGCACCAAATTAAATTTACAACAGAAAAATAAGTTTAGAGTATTACGTAGATGAGTATGCTCTGCGAAAAGCATACAATTTATAAAAACAGCGCAAAAGGATACTTCGCTGTCTCTTAACTATGATGTTTCGATATCACAAATCAAACGCCATTTAAATCTTTTCCAAATCGATGGCATAAATTTCAACTCTGTGATGGGCATTTGCACAGCGTATACGCATACATATAATCAAGCCATGTAATATTTACACGCTGTATGTTTCTCTTGGGCGGAAAAAATGGGACGGAAGTATTTTTTGTCGAAACTCGTTAAGTGCACAACGTATTTTATTTTACCTAAGTAATATATAATATGAAGTAGTACCGGTAACTGATGTTTACGTTCCAATCAAAGTTTCTTCTCTGTTTAACATTTTTTTCCGGTTAGATAGCGTTTACGATTTATATTTTTTTAAGACACATCAGCTTATGGCAGACTATGGCGGTAAAATCAGGGAAAAACTTCTTTTTCGTTTTTTTTTCTTCTGTAACTAAGTGATGTCATGCAGTGTTGAGAGTTTGTTATTTTTTACGAGTGTCAAATGTATTGTCGATTTAAATGACTAATGCTTCACGTACACCCATCACAAAAAAAATCGATGTCGCCTTATAATTGTTTTCTTTTATTGCTTACATTAAAAATATAAACTATCTTCATCACAGAGGATACAAATAGAAAACAGCATTCATAAGACTTTGAAAACATAATGCACTTTTCAGTTTTTAAATCCACGTTTGACTATATAGCAAAAACAACTGTCTTGTCCATTTACACTGCCCCCCCTTGTCGCTCTGTTACCACCAAGTGTCACCTGTTTTGTGTGACTACATTATCCTCCATTGTCGCTCTGTTGCCACCAAGTGTCACCTGTTTTGTGTGACTACATTATCCTCCATTGTCGCTCTGTTGCCATCTAGTGTCACCTGTTTTGTGTGACTACATTATCCTCCATTGTCGCTCTGTTACCATCTAGTGTCACCTGTTTTGTGTGACTACATTATCCTCCATTGTCGCTCTGTTACCATCAAGTGTCACCTGTTTTGTGTGACTATATCACCTTCTTTGCTGTTATATTCCCACCAAGTTTGATCTAATTTTTTGTGACTATGACTTCAAATCATTACACTTGCTTTAAAATGAATCACTTTTTCCATTTCCACAAAGCTTCCTAGAAATGTGAATTTGGCAAATTAGAGACACTGCTTTATGTTTTGAAAATTTAACTGGCAGATGAAACTATTTCTTTTCGCATTTTTCTCATTTTATTCGAACTTATTAGTGAAATTACCAACATTTTTAAGCCCACTATGTTTGTGCAATAACGAATTAATGAATAAAATTTCGGCAATCATGTGTGTGCAGGCGCCCGATGGTGAAAATCAGCCCAACACAGAAGTTGATCTCTTCATTTCGACCGAAAAAATTATGGTTCTCAACACCGACCTTAAAGTGAGTGTATTTTTTCACTCGATTATTTTTATCTTAATATGTTACTTCTATGGCGTAAGTATAATGTGCATGCAAAGAAAAAATAGAAAAATCATTGTATCATTGCCAAATCATTGTATTCATAAAATTATTTGTTATTCCTTCGCTTAGGAAAATCAATTATTGTTATTCTGGCTAATTATAAGTGGCTAATTATAAATACTGGCTAATTATAAATGGATCAAATTTAAACAACAACGAAGTACTTCTGGCCAAAGGTAAATTGATCAAGTTGAAATAATCCAATTAATGATAATTGTTCGCAGGAGATCATGATGGATCACGCTCTCAGAACAATATCGTACATCGCGGACATCGGTGACCTGGTGGTGCTGATGGCGCGCCGCCGCATGCTGCCCACCGACGACACCAACTCTCTGCAGAAGCAGCCCAAGATGATCTGCCATGTCTTCGAGAGCGACGAGGTATTTTACGTTCTCAGAGGGGTTTATTATTAACAATACTTAGTGATTTATGTGTTCGAAATTACAGAGGATTTTTATGCCCTTTTAATATCTGATTAGTATTTTATCGGAGAACATCTCCTCAGTTTTTAGCGCATTTTCTCATTTATGGAAAAAAAAGGCGCTACTGTGCTCGACATATTCGTCCGTCCGTCTGTCTGTTTGTCCGTCCGTGACTTCACGTTTTCGTCGACGAGAAAACGAGCTCTCTGTCACTCACTGCAGTGAGTACTGAGTTATATTTTTTATATAACGATAGACCCTGTACACGGGGCCAGTAGCGCCGCTCACTATAACCGGCCTACACTAACCGCCACTAATTACCGTGCTACTGGCCTCGTGTAAAGAATTACTGAAGGCTGCTTCTAGTACCAGTAGTGCGTGGCAACTATTAGATGGTCAAGTGGCCAACTAGTGGCCACGTAACTGCCTGATGATAAATAAAGCAACGATGTAAAGTTAATAACGGTTCGTTCGCACCCAATTTCATCTCATTGCAAGAGTAACAAAAACTGATGAATCTTTCAATCGCCTCGTGATATTTCCGAAATAAATTCTTCACTGACGGCTATGGATAAAGATTTTATTTGTTCATTGGGAATAACCATGTTATTTATATATTAAAAATTATTACGTACGGTATGCATAAGATGTTGTATTGATGTCATTCTCAATTCTGATTGACTTCAACAAAATTTTATACTGATTCTTTATATACTCTTTCTATTGCGATCTTGAACACGAAACAGAAAGTTACGGCACGACGCAATATTTTCTCACCTAAAACTAAAAATTTTTAATTTCAGATATGAATATGTGCTGACATAGCGCGAAATTATTAACCCCGAATTTCTGAAGAAATTAAAAAAGAAAATATGAATTTCTAAGAAATTTGAATGTTCTAAATTGTTTGCTTGTGTATTGCAGGCTCAGTTCATCGCACAGAGCATCGGTCAGGCCTTCCAGGTCGCTTACCTGGAGTTCCTCAAGGCAAATGGAATCGAAGATCACAGTTTTGTTAAAGAAATGGATTACCAAGAAGTGTTGAATTCCCAGGAAATATTCGGCGACGAGCTTCAAATGTTTGCCAAGAAGGAACTGCAAAAAGAGGTTATTATTAAATCACGCTCATCCATGTTCAAATTGATATAGTTTCACGGTTTGTATTCATCTTGCCATCAACAATCCTGAAAATATGATACGTTTCAATTAAATTACCTCTAGCAAGTTGTCATGTTTAACTAAATACCTATCCAAAATATGAACTTGGTTGAGTAAGTTGTGTCGTCTGAAAATTCATGTATACTAACTTGAATAATTCGTTTTCAGAGGAACATCTGCAACTATTTTTCATCACCTCTACAGTAGTATACGGTATCATTGTAAACGTGAATTTTCCGACGCGAATTTAAATATTTCCCTCTAAATTTCCACACTCATTACTATTTTTTTAACTTAAGTTATTCGGTTGCTTCAATTAATCTAGGTAAATAATAACAATTACTCTCAATCAAATATCCATGTGATAATTTGTGCTAGGTGGTGGTACCAAAGATGAAGAGTGAAATACTAGGCGTGGTGGTGGTGGAGTCAGGCTGGGGCTCTATGGTACCTACGGTCGTCATAGCCAACCTCTCCCCTTACGGTGCGGCTGCCAAATGTGGCCAACTCAACATTGGCGATCAAATCATCGCCATCAACGGCGTGTCGCTCGTTGGCCTGCCGCTCTCAACGTGTCAGAATTACATCAAGGTTAGTGTTGGCGATCAAATCATCGCCATCAACGGAGTGTCGCTCGTCGGTCTGCCGCTCTCAACGTGTCAGAATTACATCAAGGTTAGTGCATTGAGAGATGGTCAAATGTTTGAACATCAACCGTTCAAAAGTTGGCAGGCGTAAGTAATAGTCACTACATTCTTTTGAATATAAGATACAGTTTTAATTTGAAAATAGTCTGTAGAGATAAAAATTAAACTAAAACCAAAGTTATCTACACTACATTCTTGGTTAGGAAAAAAATTCACTTACTTTACTTTTTTATACCTGTTTCTTTTTACAACCGTTTACTTCTACACCCGTTTATTTTTACATCCGTTTCTTTTTATACTTTATACCCTTGAGTAAATGTGTTCGCCGTGCAGAATACCAAGTACAACACAGCAGTGAAGCTGACGGTTGTTCCCTGCCCTCCTGTTGTTGAAGTTAAAATCAGAAGACCGGACACGAAATACCAGCTCGGCTTCAGCGTGCAGAATGGAGTCGTGAGTGCCCGCTATTTTAGAAGCGCGTAACGCGCATCGTCGAAGCGAATACGTTAATATGGTAACAATTTCAAATAATTGACTGGTACTATTGAATATTAATTCTTGTGTATTGATTTAAAATTTATTGATAGATATAATTGGTTGTTCGAGTGCTGTTTGGAGCGAGATGAAGATAATAATGTAGAAATGTGAATCTGTCTAGTTAAAAAATTTTACTCGTATGCTAACTAAGAGTTCTCTGCCAGTACATCGAATTGTATTTCATTTGATCTTCCACTTACAGAAAACTGAGATTACTGTGTGTTGTCTGAGAATAAAAAAATTCGTTACCACTAATACTAGAACGAATTGAAAATATTTGGATTGCAAGAGTGGAAATCATAAAAAAATCGGAGAAAAATCTACACTTACACCGATAAGACAAACACGACTTAAAATGTTGTTATATCTCAAAATTTCAGTTCCAACGCCAAGTACTGAGAGGTTAAGATAAGTTCGTCATCGAACTAGGTATGTTTCTTGAATGTATTCAAGAAAATAAACGAGACCGTCAAAATAGCAATTCTCTTGTGCGAGTCATTCAGACCCAGTTTGGCCCGGAAAAAGGACGTATCAATGAAACGCGAACAAAGTATCTCACTATTCGAACAGTTAGACTCGTCCTTTTTTCTGAGTGATATAGCGTCGCGCATGCGCCTGGACTGCCTACAGACTTTGCTGCTTTTCAGATCTGTTCGCTGCTGCGCGGAGGGATCGCTGAGCGGGGCGGGGTGCGGGTTGGGCACAGAATTATCGACATCAACTCGCAGTCTGTGGTGGCCGTGCCCCATGAGAAGATAGTCAATCTCCTAGCCACTTCAGTTGGGGAGGTGAGTTTTGTTTGGTTTAAAATTGAACATCGCACAATATCATATGTAAAAGTAGGTTATTACTTTTTTATGGAAAGCCTTGATATCATACTAGTTTCCTTGTTCATTTAAAAATTTTAGCTGTCATATTCTGATATCGCCAGCGGACTCGATGTGTGTTAACAATTAATATTTTGACTAATGCTTGCTAATATCTAATACAACAAATATTTTTCTACTCCTACAGATCCGCATGAAGACGATGCCAACTTCCATATTCCGATTATTGACTGGACAGGAGACGCCGCAGTACATCTAACGCAAGACTCGCAAGTCTTTAGGAAATTTCTGCTTACTTTTCCAAATGAAAATATTCTGCGCCACGCGTATTTTTTTATCGAGCTCCGCATATTGAGGCTCGTCATCTTGTCAGGAAACTTGCAAAACGCCTCAATGAAACCAGTGAAAATGAATGAAAAATGAGTCCTTGTGAATTGCTGGGAAGTGAATTAGACCATGATTCCCTTAAATATAAAGCACAGAAAATAAACTCCTCTTGCCTAGTCATGAATTTTTTCAACAAAAAGTTCAAAAGCAAGCCTTGAATGAAATTTGATAACCTCAATCAATTATCGTTGCAAAAATATTCTTCTGGACTTATGAAAAAAGTCCGCGAGGTCCCTCTAGTCGATTGGTGTTGTCCACAAATGCAGCGACTTGGCAGTATTGTACACTGGAATCAAAACCCTGATAGTGTGAATAGTTTGTAATTAATGCTCGTGATTATCTATCTTTTGTTATATGACCATTTTCTTGTTTTGTGATGGTGAAAATATTGATAAAAGACTTGAATCTCCACTCAAATTTAAATTTTGAGGCCATTTTTTCTCATTTAAGAATTGGAAAGCTACGTACGTCAAGTGGAAGCGCGTTTTTTTAGAATAAGTGAAGTTTCTGAACCGTGTGACCAGTGCGACGGATGGTAAATTTCTACCGCTTTATTAAAACTGCACATCATCGATGCGATTGAGTATTGATACGATTTGGCTGCCATAACAAGTGATGGCTCGTCGATATAAAGTTTACAGTGGGTGTTTGGTGGCGACGAAGAATGCTCTATAATTTATATAATAGCAGATATAAACAATTTGAACCATCCATGCACTAAAGTAAGTGCAAGACACGGATGCGTAAGATAAGGAAGTATAGGCGCGTCCTCGTATGATTGTCTCTTGTATATTAATATTAACTGATGTATGTATTCTCAGCTCCTCCTGACTTTCTAAGACGATCATGATTTTCTTGAACAATGTTTACGAGTGTAAGATTTGTTTGTCCAAAAATGACTGACCGTACGTAATGATTTAAACTTTTGTAGGAGATGAAGTTATATACGTCGTTGTACTCTTAGCGCCTCATATACAGCCAACTGTACTATATACTATTTCTTCTATACCTACCTACTATTACTTCTAATGCTGTCTTGCATTCCTTAAACTTAAAATACCAAAGAGCATGCATGCCGCACTCCAGCTTTCTTCGATGCAAAGCTTCGTAGTCGACTACAGGATATTTCCCTGTTGAGCGTTAAGCTCTCTCGCGTACTCCATCTGTTATCTGCTTACTCCCATCTGCTCTCCTACACTTTCAAATCTGCCGCTTTTGCACGGAGCTTCCTAAGTTGAAAGACGAAGTTGCAGTCGTGGTGTTTGCGATGCTGGCTTACTTGCTTCAGTTGCGGGTACCGCTGCTGCACGTAGAACAGGAACAAGATTGTACTCCCACGCCATCTGTTCTGAGACTCGTTTAATGCTGAAAGAATCCCATGCGCTAGCTGGAAACATGTTGAGAGAAACTTGTTTATCTGTAGTCGTTGAAATACTTATTTCCAGGTTTTACCAGAAAAATTACCTCGTCTGCCTTACGTACAAAATTTTATGTAGATTTATCTGAACAGTCTTAACGGATCTTCTCTCCCCACACGTGTCATATCGTCTGCTGTTACTTATGAGTTTCATCATAAAGAAGCATTCCACTTATTTTTTTATTCGCGGGTCTGATTCTTTCAATGAAGTTCAAAAGATTAGTTATTATTTAACTTAAGTTGAAGCGCGTCAAGAACTGACCCGCTTCTGCTGAATACTGAAACTGAGGTCTATGCATTACTAACCCATATCACTACTTTTTTAGGTGAGATTTTAAGACTTTTTGTACAGAATTATTGATCAAATGCATCCACGGTACTTCATTGTCGTTTTCAGGCGCGTAATTGACTTTAATGCATTCATGAAGCGTTCGCATGTCAGGCATGCATTCGGGTGATGAGGAACGTTAAGTGAATGAGTTCTGTAATTATGCATCCATTTCATTACCATGTAGGACAACAATTTTGAGATCATTTTTTTTTTTCATTTAGACTTGTAAAATCAAAACTTGAACTTTTAAGGTCCTCAATGTAATTTTCTTTTGTTCGGATCAGTTAGTTATTAATGACTCGTCTAATATATTGGTTGCAGTTCGTTCCTTTGCACAGAAATTTTCTGTGATTTCGAATCTAACAAATTCCATGATTCATTTTTCAACCAAGTTAAACATGTCAGCGAAGGCTGGATACTGCATCTGTACAGGCAACAGATTCGCAATTCGATGACCTTCACACCACTTGGAACTACTCGAACTATTGTGTGCCTTCCCTATGCTTTAAAATCATACGAACATTGGTTGATCAATTCATTTATTAAATTTTATATAATTCGTTTAAATGTTGACTTGAAATTTGCATCTAGGCTGATGGATCAAAAATCGAATTGATCTTTTTCAATTAATGATCATCGGTCATGGAAGTGCAGAACAACTTGGAGCACTTAGTTGAATTTCGTTTCCTAATTTTCGGTCTAAAATTCTTTCAATACGCGTGAATAGATTCTGTCTGACAGAGCAGCAGCATGTACAACAAAATTTCGAAAGGTTCGAAACTGAAATTTATGAAATATTCGATATAATTTAAACATGGTCACATGTATCTGTGCAGCTGGAATGTTGAAAGTCAAGTAAACCGTACATAAATTAAAATGTGAATGTCAGGCCAACCATACATAAATTAAGATGGGAACTTTGAACGTCATGTTGATTGCATTGTCAATTTTAGAATACATTCAGCAATTTTATTTCAATACATCGTACTTTACATTGCAGTATTTGGATTAAAATGCAGTCCGCGTGCCATGGCTGTGCTTGCAATTGACTGGACATCATCGTACTCCATTACAGGGACTGTCACCGTTGCTACACGCAATAGACGAAATTGTTCAATTTCAGTACAAAAATTGTTATTCGCTATTTAAAATTAGAATGCTCGAAGGAATCAAATTGCAGAAAATTCAGTTTGTATGTTAATTAAAAAAAAGCTAAATATGTCCAATATAAAGAGAAGATCACGTGATAAAACCACACAATTTCCAATTCAGTTCAGTTGACGTTCAAATCGTAAAATATACAAGCTTGAGTATTTTAATGAACCCGCCGAAAAATGCTTGAGATCATACTATTAGCTCAATTTCGAACAATTGTAACTTGTAGATCTGAGAAGTAAATTCGCCAGAATTCTGTATTTCACTTTACAGGAATCGTGTTGTAATTGCCTTTAATATAATTGCAGAGTTTACATAGGAGAGAATTGATTATGAACAAATGTGTTCATGCCAGAGATCGTCGGCAACAGTAATTGATGAAAAAAGAGTAGTGGATCTTACTTTGTTAGTGCAACGAATGATTAATCATTTCCATAAAAGATAAACAAATAAATTCATGCGTTTACTTGACAGACGCATTCAAGCAACAATGAGGACAAAGTGGAATCTAGCAAATACTGGGAGTGGATATTATATAATCAAATTGCATACATTATAACGGCAGCAAATGACTCGTATAAGAAATGGTATATTTATGAGACGCGAGCGTCGTTGGCGCTCGAGTTTCCTCTATCATACATTGTAGTATATGAGCAGCGTATGACTATGAAAATTCTTAATAAAAGTGGTTGTTGAAAAAACTCGTTTTTCCACCTATTTGAACACTCGAGAGGTATTCAACCGCTCATTAGACCGGAAATTTTCAAAGTTCAAGTGCAGATTTCAGTTGTAGATTGTTCAAAAATTTCCCCGCAATCAGTAATTGGCAAATGAAGTCGATACAACTGCAAGTAGACCTTCCACCATTTGCCTTGCACGCTGGGCGAAAATGATTGATGTTCAAGAGCAACTTTAGACAGAACACTAGGTGACATCATTTGAAACATGAATGAGTACACGCATCACTACTCTACATATAATTGTTTAAATACTAAGAGGGCACTAAAGCCTGAACTACCAACTAAGATTCACAGCAGTTACACTTTGACTAGCATTTGAACACGACCACACGGTGGGTAATCTTATCCTAGTTGTAAATGCACGAGTAAGCGACATGCTTATAACTACACTCAACTAGGCAAGCACGCTGCGATATTAAATACATCTTAGAAACTCAAACTGCTCGTAGTAATTATAAATAAATCAATGAAGTAATTTCAGTAATGCATTCCAAAATAAAATGAGATAAAAACTCTGGTACATATATAAATGTCAAAAAAATATGGATGAATTCATTATCAGTAAAAAACAACTGGAATATCTAGAACATAATACGATGGCCAGCGAGGCCCGTTAAGCAGTAAGCAGAACTTTTATAAATTTATCATTTAATAAATGCATTTTTAAATCACTTGACAGTCTATGATCATCTCAATTTTATCAATCGGTGGGATCTTAAACCTACACGTAAGATCCAGATCGATTGCATTTATTATAATTATACAAACAACGATCATTTGCTTCACGTCAAAGCTTATAACGTATCAAGGCATAAAGAATAACATGTACAACTTGATAGCGATAACAACTCAAGAACTGATACGTGGATTCTTTACTAGATAAGGATGAGATCAGTAAGTTGCGATAAAAGCGTTCATCAAATTGCATTATAAACTTACGGTAATACACGTAACTAACAACAGACATCACTAATACAACACCAGCATCCTGATTCAATTTTGTCCTGCGTTCAGAACAATGAATTGGTCAATAGAAGTAAGCAATCAATGTCTGATTCGTATCACACATCAGAACAATGAGAGATTTCTTACACTTACTTTGGTCATTTCATGTTAAATCAGCCGATGCTTATAAGACGCTGTGTTACGAGTCATACGTCACATGGCGGAAACAACAATAAATTATTTCCTCTTGTGATGAAGGCTATAATGGTCAAATGCAAGTAAAGCTTACTAAGGGTAGCACACTGCTATATTAGAGTGTTATCAATTTCTGATTTAAAAAAAGTCATCACGATGAAGTGTCAGAGGTTCAGGGCACAGAATATAGCAAGGAAGATGATACGTTAACATCTCTGAGCAACTATTAAGATACAATAGGTACACAACCAATAATAGCTAATGTTGTTTGTCTTTACTCGCACGATTTAGAGAGCAAAACCTACAGTAAAATACTACGAGCTCGATGAGGATGGTTTAGGAACAACGAACCTGGTAAGAATAGTCAAGGAACAATTAACCATTTCGGCTTACTTAACCTCCTTTGAAAAGTCATTCATGCGGTGTCACTCATTTTGAGATATGAGTAGCGCAGGGGCTAGCACGATTGAGCACAGCCGCCCCTACACCCACCAATTTAAACAAGGCACGGTAAATACATGGGGAGGTAAATAGACAAACGATGGCACAAAATAGGCCTGATAGTGATTTCTTATTTTAAATCGTCACTTTCGCACGCGGTATTCTTTTAATAAAATCACGATTAAGGCCGCTAGTGAAAAGAATATACTTAAGTTTATATTCATTTACCGAGCAGAAGAGGCTGAAAAATATAAATTCTTTAAAAGCAAGGCAGACGCTATAACTTAACATTTTGAGTGGAACTTTTAATAAATTTGAGAATTTGGTCAATAGCACTATGAAAAAGATATGAAAAATGTCAATCTAGAATATGGATTTAAAAAAAATTCATTATGTTATAAAACTACAAGAAGGAAGGAATGGAAGGAATACCTTTAGAAGTGAATTCCACTTAAATTTTTCACAATAAAGAAATCGGAAAAAATTTCAAAGCAACGAAAAGAAATACTGATAATGTTTGAAAAGAAATTACTTCAATAATGGAGAAACCACCCAAAACCGATTGAGGAGAATGTTCATGATAAAAGAAAATCGAAGTGAAAATGTTTAAAATCTGATACTGAAAATTATAACCCAAGTTGATTGATCAGAAATCATTCTCAGTGAATGCATCTGACTAATATGTAGGATTCATTAAGTAACTATCGCCTTGTTAAAATGCACCTGATTTGTACTTCAACTCACACTGTTATTTTGAGAGCCCAGGGGGTAAAGCCGCTGTTTACCTTTGGTTAGATTTGCTCACATTAACTCACGAGGGCTTGAGTCTATGATTCGCCAATTCTATGAGAATCTTAATATGAAATCAGTTATTTAATCAGAAAAAAAAATCACTAAAAGAGCAAATGCAGGTACCATCACACAAACCAATCCTTACATAGTGTTTGAATACATCATTTTAAACAATGAAGGCAAAGCTTAAATTTTCACGTTCTTTACCAATAAAATCCCGCAAGTTCCTTCTCAATTACAATTGTTTCTCAAAACCCGTCAAGACTTATTCGATAAAATGAACTAGTGATATATGTAATGCCGGACTTGGCTAATAGGAACTGCACTTTATCAGAAATGTTAGCATTATAAAGCAATAACAGAACATGAATTACATATTCACGAACACCTCAACTTTATTGAGGCAGACTGTGACAATTCTTGTTAACATCGATCTGAATATACAACAAAAATAAAATCGAAGAAGTCTCTAATTCTCTAAATAAACCTAATGCTTGACCCAGCGAATATTAAAATTTGATGGTAGTTAGGTTGCAACAGAGAGTCCTACTCCAAGTGGGAAGATATTCAGGTGATGACTAAGAAATTAGAAGAGGATAACATGTTCTCTCAATTCAGGACGTTGAGTTTATTCTATGATTTAAATTTTAGTATCATTTGAGCAACATGCAAACAAATGCAAGAAGTTAAATTCAGTTCAATGCGATAAAATACCAAAATCAAGTAGGAAAACAACAAATCTTTCAAGAAAAAATTGACTAAAATACAATGAAACATTTTATGATCGGATTAATCATTTTTCTTTTTGTTAAAGGCGAAGAAATTTGAACTGAAAATGAGGGTGAAGATATATATATTTCTTTAATATGAGAAAGGGGAGATTGTATGCTCCACTTCTATATAATCATAAAGCATGTTAAGGACTTCACGTCGAGCAATTTTGCTTTGTTTTTACTATAGTTTTAAACTCATGAATAGTGGCACAATTCATGAAGTTAAATGTTAATTAATTAGGTTCAGAAATGTTCAGCAGACTCCGATGCAGCACCTGAATGAATCTCTTTGCAAGGACCTGCTGGAAGTGGTCGTACCAACGCAGCATGGAGCGCCGGCGACGATCTTTGGCCCCCTCACTTAGTCTGAAACATGTCATTTTATTAATGTGGTTTCAGTCATAATTAATGTATATAATGATTTAAATTTGTTCACAAATTTGTAAACTTATAATAAAAACTTATAAGACTTATAAACTTAAGGAAGTAGATTGTGTGTAGTTTGCTCAGCAAAATTAAATATCATATTGTTGCCAGTTTTTTTATTGGCACCAATAAAAAAATAAAAAACTCTAGAAAAACTTTTGCAAATTTTTATTCATTTATGAACAATGACGTACGTCTTTTCGCGTTCGAGGACATCTTGTAAGTCAAACCATGAGTAGAGCCAAATGAAGGGAGCCTCCGCTTCCTTCAGGAGCCTAAATGTGAACGAGTCGCAACCTCCACCACCGTCAGGAGGCGAGTTCAGCAACACAGGCAACGCCCCGGCAGCAACAGCGTCGTAGATCACGGACGTCTCGGCATTGTCTCCGACGGGGCATATGACCAGGTCAGCGGACCGCAGGGAATCCAAGTAAAGAGACTTGGTGGTAGCGTTCAACCTGCCAAAACATCGACTAGTAATATTGAACACATAATAAAGATAACGTGTATGGAAAAATGATGGATTACTTGAGCGTGTAAACAAGGAAGTTAAAGCTAAAAATATGGGAATATGGAAATTAATTAACGATCAAAACAAAAACAAAAAAATGTTCATAACCCTCGTCACTCTCCGGGAACATGCAATTATATGTAAAGTAAACTATCGAGTGTAGCAACCTGAGGACGTTGGTATGCAACAGAGAGCACTTTAAAGTTGTCGTACGTGGCGGCAACAATCAGTGCAAGTCATTTTGCACTCACTAGAACATATTCTTTTTAGGAAGTAGGCTTGTGACAATATTGCTCTGGTTACTCATGTCAGGTGGTAGAGGTTTAATATTCACGTACATAACCCAATTTAATTAGATAAAGTTAATACAGGAAATAAATATAAATGCATAATAACAGACCACTAAATGAGAATTGTTGGCTGTTGAGTTAAAAACATCTAATGTGAGCAATCTAAACTAAATGAGCTAACGAGAGGGTATCCAAGAGTACTATTATAATACTATAATGTGAATTTCGAAGATATTCAATGAGGACCTTGGAAGGCAATGTTCAAAACATAGGAAGGTGATGTTCAATGGGAACATGGGGAGGCAATGTTCAATGGAAACATGGGGAAGTAGTATCACACAACACACATCCTCGTCGTGCGTGAACAAACACCACTTTTGACTCACACATCCTCGACGAGTGTGAGTGAGCAAACACCGCGTTTGACGAAGGGACGGATGAGCGTAAGCAGCTGGCCGGTGGATGACGAGTGACTCGTCCACAAGCTGCAGCGATACTTGCGTTGCCCAGGATCATTGTGATGAGGCAGATTGGTAGATCTGCCGAAATGATTATTATGTTATATGCCCTGGCCCATGGGTGATAAAACAAGCGTATTAATGATATTAATAATGATAAGTAGTAGTAGTAGTAGGGAGAGGTTTCTAGCGCTTCAGATCAGGTAGTCTATTTCGCGCCGAAGGTCCTATATTCGTATTGCAGGGTCAGGCTTCTTCGTTGGTTTCAGGCTCGTGGCCTGATCCATCTGGTCTAGGGTACATGCTTTTCTATTTCCAAGGCGCAGGTTCTATCCGTCTTCTGCTATTTCATCTCAACCAGTAACATGATGACACGAGTATGGTGTTTAGTCAGGGGTATGGGTCTCTTCAGACTTATGTCATGGTGCCGTGCTAGATATCCGGTAGCAGGTTACACTCGATTATATATCGTCTGAGATTGTCAGTCCCAAAGATGCTTCGAGGAACTTCTCTTAGCATCCTGGACAGCATTTCATTTGGGCTGAGAGCAGTGGTGTTGGGGTAGTAGTTTTGCCGAGTATCACTGTGGCTCGGGCATTCCGCCATAACGTGCAAGACCGTCAGGGGTACCAAACAATCATTGCAATACGGCATCGGACGGCGTTCGATCAGGTAGCTGTGAGTGAGGCGCGTGTGGCCGATCCTTAGTCTGCACATCGCTACCTCCAACTTCCGGGATTTCTGGTATGATGAACTCCACGCTCGTACACAATCCTTGATTGTTCTGAGTTTGTTCTCTCTCACGTTCAGCCACTGTTCCTGCCAAATATGGCGGATGATTGCCTTGATGATAGGGTAGTGGTCTCGGCAAGGGACCTGCTCGCTGTAGATCGCCTGGTCCGAAGAGGCGGCGTTTACCGCCGCCTCATCCGCCCTCTCGTTGCCTCGCACCCCCACGTGTCCGGGCACCCAGCAGACGCTCACCGCTCTCCCAGCCTCCGCCAGGCGCACCAGCCCGGTTAGGATCTCCGAGACAATGGGGTGCCTGCTATTGTAAGCTCTCAAAGCCTGTACCACACTCATGGAGTCCACAAATATTGTAAAATCGTCTCCGGGCAGTTGGTCTATGAGGCTAAGGGCGCAGCTGACACCGACGAGCTCAGCGGTGAAAATTGACGAGCTTGAACTGAGTCGTTTTGACATCGCCGCCACGCCGGCCACAGCCGCACATCCCACTGCGCCGTTCGTCTTAGAGCCGTCGGTGTAGATATGTGTAGAGTTTGCATGCTCTGTGGATGCATGGTGGAGAAAGAGGTTTCTCATCTCGGTTGAGTGTGAGCTTTGCTTCAGTGGGTAGTTTTGGTCCGGGCAGAATGTGTTGATTGGGATGCGCCATATAGGGGTATCCTCAAATATGACTGGTATGACTTCTAGTACATGAGCCTGCGTTGTTGCAAGCAGTGTTTCATAGTCTTCGGATGACGGGATATTGTAATAATGATAACAAGCGTGAGGATATTCACCATAATAGCTAGGCAATTGGAGATCCTGTAGAAAGCCTCAACCAGAAAAAGCTAGAAATTGTTGTAATATATTCAAAATTCACACCCGAAATTTGATGGCATCATTTCGTAATAAAAAAGCAATAAAGTGATAAATGCCTTACGCTCCAAATACAGATTAGGACTAATTTTGAGGTACAGGTCTGAACACAAATAAGTTCAAATACAATACAAGGATGCATTTCACAATTTTACTTCAATTTCACGGGCTATGCAAGAATTGAAATATTAATCATGTAACTCATGAAACTTAACGACATATATCTTGTATTAGTTGTACATATCACTGGAAACACTAGTAAATTTTATCTACATGCATTGATACTACTGCATTTGAAGCTTTGTCTGTAAAGTGTATACACAGCAACAAAATGCACTCTACTTACTGAAATACATATCAGTGCCTGTTCTCACAACTACATCGTGATTGTTTGTTACAATATGTCATTTTGATCTAATCCTCATAATAAAAGATATCTCAAATTGCAATTTTGACATGCTCAGAACAAAGTACTATAACAATTTTCCACAATATATGAATTTTCTAGCAGTCCAAATATTGGTCATTGTGTTAACCTAGTCAAATGAAACGGATAAAAATATAATACCGGTATGCTTTAGGTTTAGGAGGTACATAACAAATTCTATGGCTGTAACATATTCATAGGGTTTATATTGCAAGCTGGGTAGCTTGGAGATATTTTCAGACATTATATAATATAAGCTATAGCATTTTTTAGAATTAGAAAGAAAATTCACATTCTTATTGAAATAAATAATTAATAGATAATTCACAGAAGTCCTTCCAATAACTTACATGCTCTGGCCAAGAGGCCACTGAAAGTAGCGTAAATTATCTATGATGAGGTCATCAAATGTGAGGAATACAGCCTGCACCAAGCCAGAATCCACATACTTTTTGACCCAAGAGTTGTTGCAACTCTGCACATCAAAATAATTAAATAGAAATTATGATGCTTAAAAAGCTACAGAAATGATGTAGGTACTGATATTTTATATTCTTTAAAAACTTCCAGAAGGAACTTGTAAACAACTTATGAAAAAAAGATATAGCAAAGCAAAAAGAACTACTGGAATACTAGAACAAATATATACTAACTTTTGAGCCTTGAAGTATGAGCAAAATATTTGGAAAATTTTTCCTCCTGGAGAGCAGGTTGAGCCATGCAAGCGCTGTTGAGCCAGCATCTTCACCACTGACTACCAATACCAGCGCCCGACATGTAAATGCAGGCAATAAGCCATTGGACAGCGCAGTTCCATTGCCTGACAAACCCTCACCTGAAAATGAAAGTCAACATGTTAAAAGGCTAATTTATGCACAAGGCAAAACGCGAAACCCCTAACCATAACCAAAGGAAAGTTTTAAATAATAAATAATGATAAATGCTTATAATTGCTCAAAACTTTTTGAATATAACAATAGAAAATATGAGCACATGTTTATTTGGAAGTTACAGTCCTAATTTTATAATTTCTGTAACTTGAGAATTCACACCTTCTTTGTAAGTGAAGAGCCAGTCTCCAACAGTCTTTTTCCCCAGGAATACTCCAGGTGTTGTCATGTCTTCTTCTAAAAATCCTTTGAGTAACTGAGTCCACAAGTATCGACTTAGTGGACCAGTTCCAAAAATTATAATTTTAACCAAGTTTCTTCTTTCATCAATGCTTGAGGTACCTAATTTATCAAGAAGCACTTTAGGCAGAGATTCTTGATTTGAAACCATTATGGCACTTTTTTCTTCAGCAATGGCAAGACTTGAAGAAAAGCTGAGGTTAGAAATAGACTCCTTATGACTTGATTTTTCACTGTTGATTTTTTTAGATAGATGAGAGGTTGGAGATTTGATTGCAACCACTTTTTGGCTTGGAAACAATTTGTTTGCATTAGAAGTTTCAACATCATCAACCAATATACTTTCTTGATAATTTGGATTTTTCAAATTCATTTGACTTGATTGCAGAATGGATTCTGTGGCCAAATGACCAAACGGTATTAAAAAATTTAAAGGAAGTTTTTGCTTGCTTAGTATTAATTCCTTGCCATTGGAAGTTAAATCGATGAAATTAGAATCAGCATAGTTGGAAATTTTTTTTCTTTTTGCATTGGCAGAATATGAATTTTTTAATGGGGAGGATATAATGAAATTACCTGCTTGCAAATCATTTCTGTGCAAGTTCAAAGGGTTTTCCTGTATAAAAGTTTCTGTATAACTACCAGATTGGAATTTATTTTTGTGACTCATTTTTCTATTTCTTTTGTTGTATTTTATTTGTGTTTTTTCACTATTTTCATCATTAGGTATTTTTTTCAGAGCAGGTAGAGTTGCAGTCACATTTTCAACAGGTTCTATGGGCCTCAACTTGAAGAGCTTAAGCACTGGGAACATGGATGCCTTGGACATGCCATGACTGCTTGTGTCCAAAATTAATGCTGACTTTTGGACTTTGATTCCATTGTTAAATTCAGGACCGTTATTAGTCTTGTTATTGTTAGTCTTGATGTTGTCAGAAACAATAAGCTGGTTAAGCTCACGATCATGACGCTCAATATTTAGAATTGATAGTGGCCTCTGCAAAAAAAATTGGATAAAACAATATAAATTCATTCATGTTAGAACATTTTTCAAGGCAAATTTAAGTTAAAATTAATAATTTTTTGGGGGAGGGGGAAATTTACTTATGATTTGTACCATAAATAAATGATTTACTTATGATATGTACCATAAATCAACTACCAAAATGCACAATCAATAAAAAAGTATTATCAAAACTATGTTCATAGGGAATGACAGTTTTGTTCATAAAATTATAAAAGTGCACCAAAGTAGAATACCTCAAGTCTTTTGCAAATAAAAAAATAAATAAAACACCTCATTATCAAATATGGCACTTCCAACAATTATACGGTATATACTTTGAACTGCAAAATTTGCTGTAAACCTGTGAACATAAATGATATATATAACTGACCATGATGAACCTGCGTACTGTGGGCTGTGCCTGCAGTTCTCGGTCATCAGGAATGAACTCCACTGGCTGTTCAAAGTCCAAGTTTTCAAGACTGCCCAGCACCTGAGCAATTTCTCGTTGTCGATCTGAAAGAGCTGGAAACAAATATTATATCAGCTTTTTAATGCAATCGCAGAAAAGTCTTCTTTTAATATAGTAGTGAATTACTTGCAGCAGTGAACTACGTATACTAACTGTAAACTGACATGTGTTTTACAACTATTTACATGCATGCAACCAAAAAGAACCTTCCTTGATTTTTACATGCATATATACCATCAAATGAAGTAATAAGGGATGGTTTTGAGTATTTGTTGTTGATAACTTCTTACCATGAAACATTTCATAAACATGTTTGAGCTCATTTTAAAGCTCTTTGCGAAGGCTATCGTATGGCATCGCCAAAAAATTCCATATGCTATTCATAAGGTGCCAGACGCAAAATAAAAGCGTCCTAAATTACCCCTGGAAATGGGGGTAATCTGGGAACCTTGAAATAAAACTTAATTTTAACATGTTTGGAGTATGCAAATTGTACTTATCCATAACTAACAGTACTATGAAGTTCTCCTCTTCCTCTGTAGATGATGTACCATAGATGTAGAATGAATGACACATTCTGTGATTTTTACATATTTTTCCTTTACTGACATGAAATTACCATATCCATTCATTACCGTATTATTGATGCAATATTATTGTATCCATGAGCATGCAATTGAGCTTTTACAACGACCATGTCCACTGCAAGCTTCATATCAGCAGCCATATAGCATTTCTTCTGTATCTGTAAGTTTACAGAAAGTCTTGTAATTTCACTCCATTTTAATTGTGTTGAGTGAATTCACTAGAAACAAAAAATATCATAATAAAGATACCTGAAACAGAAAATAATATTTTAGTGAGAAGCATCATATCTTTTGGAGAAATAAATCATAGTTTAGATTAATTATTTTTCATTCTCTGTTGCCCAGTGCACAATTCTATCTATGGCATTCTATGCACAATTTTGTGATGACTGATGATGCATTATTTTTTGTCAAGTGAAATTTCTTTCACTGAGTGAGGTAAATTTAATAAAAAAATTTTGTTGTCAATTGATTTTTTGTTAACTTGAGCATTTGCTCATTGAGGTTCTACTGAAAATGCATTTTTAGGAGTGTCCCTTATTTCCAAGTCTGGCAAAAATGGCTGCCATTTTTTTTCAATTAGATAAGCAAATTCCGTCAATCACCTTTTTAAGCCAACACCTGTGTGCAACTTTTACGTAATTAAAATTTTTAATAGGACAAATATTTTTTTGCTACAAACCTTAGCAGAGGTACTTTTCCAAAATTGCACTTTTCACACTTTTTCTCAGGGATTTTTTAAAGGTAGTAAATGTGTGATTTCCTAATTTGCTTTGTGCTACATAGATGGTAAAAATGTTGAACTTTATGCCACTATTTTTAGTTTTGCAATATTTTGATTAGTTTAGCTGCTAGGGTAAACACACCATATTCTGACACCTTAAGGATGTAGCAAGAAATAAATGGCTATAAATAGATCACTGTATGTGCAACTCAAGTTCTGATTGGTTTACATCACTCTCAAAACACAACACTATGTGCCAGCAATGATGAAACGTCACAAACTGTTGCCATATTTATTTAAAAGCCTTTAGAATTCAAATCTACAAAATCGCTGAATTCTCACACTGTGTGTGACTAAATGCGGCGTATTGTAAGACTAATTCTGACAGCGCTTCAAAATCATAATTCGTAATTCTAACACCCTGTGTCGGAATACGACATCCTGTGTGTTGTAATTCCGACACCCTGTATCAGAATTCGTTTTTATGTGTCTGAACCCATCTCTTAAATCAATCCTCTATTAATTTATTTACCACTTAAAATCAGCAAATACAAGTATAGTCAGATGGGGTAAGACAGGACCGAAATCACTAACAAGCCTGTAGCATCTATACCATGAATAACTAAAAAACCCTAAACCTATCACAAGGTGCATTTATGCAATGGGCTTCTAAGCTACAACTCAGACGTTTTGCATCTAACATAGTTTTCTGTACAGATTAAAAAAAGTGAGCTGGTCCCATCTTACCCCATTGGGGTAAGATGGGACCAGGCTGGGGTAAGACAGGACCAACTGGTAATTCTTATGTTACAAGGTTTCTAATAAAAGTACAATTCTGCTATTCACTATTATCCAACTAGAAACACATTATTTGATTAAACAACCACTTGTTACTGTTCTTTGTTGTGGGAAGTCAACTCCAATATCAGTCACATTGGAGGTTTTGTCACGAGAAAACTTTGTTGACATTAAATGCAGCCATATGATCCATTTAGTCTTATGAGCAAAAAATATGGATGATATTACATAGCTGGCATAGTTAATTATCATTTTATACTTTACTTTTGCTAGCAATAATAAGAAGTCCAAGAAAGTTGCAAGAAACTCCAGTATTTTAGCAATAATGCCTTATTCGAGATTGAAATTTTCAAAGAAATTTGGTGAGAGTGAGCAAAAGATAAAAATTTTGACCAAAATACTCCAGTTACTGCATAATAATATATTCATTTAAAAACTATTTTTGATATACTGTAGGGTAATAGAGGACCATTTGTGGGGTAAGACTGGACCATATGTGGTGTAAGATAGGACTGTTTGTGGGGTAAAACAGGATCATTTAGTGGTCCCATCTTACCCCATGTCCAGTCCTTTTTTACCCCATTTTAGAATACATGTCAGGCAGTGATGGTAGCAGGTAGGAATGCCTAGTATGTCTCAAAGGTTGCTTATTACTTGAGGTTACCTGCCTACATCCACAAACCTGGCCAAAAAATTTTTTGTCATTAGACAGAGCTTATTTCCTAATCAGGGTTAACTATTTTGTGACCCTTCTTCACATAGGTTTTCTTTGTAAATTAGCCAGAAATTCAATATTTGCAGAAGAGGGTTGAAACAAACACTGAAATGACAGGCAATGATTGCTCTAACATATTCTTTTGTCAAATTAAATTTAGTGCAATTAGAATGCACACCATGGGCTGGTCCTTTCTTACCCCATGAAGGCTGCGATCCTGTCTTACCCCATTTGACTATATACTTAAAGGATTCTAATATATTAACAGACTTAATTGAAAGTCTCAAACCATAATATTCTTTCTACACAAACAGTTCATCACTATTTAGTAAAGCAGTAAGACCAAGCTTAACCCTTTACGCCCTGGCGTGACGAATTCGTTACACCAGGGACTAGCTACCTTTTCCAACAATTTTACATTTTCTGTCATTTTTTTGAAAATTTTACATGAAAAAAAAGTCTTAGATTTCTTTTTTACATAGGTGTACCAAGTTTCAAAGTTATCTGTCAGTACATAACCGAAATATAATTTCCAATTTCCAATGGCAATGTCCAATTTCTTATGGAAATTCTATTTTGGTTATTTACTAACAGATAACTTTGAAACTTGGTACACATATGTAAAAGATAAATCCAAGACTTTTTGTTCGTAGGAATTTTTCGAAAAAAGTGAAAGAAAACGTGAAATCCTTAGAAAACCGCCAAAAAAGGGGTACAGTAGAAATCTATCTCCTCCTATGATTTTCAAGCTACAACATTGAGACGCATATCATTTGATGCGTAAGGACCATATCTATCGATTGGTCCTTGCTGTTTTTCAAAATTCTAATTTCTGTGGGTGGGGTGGGCATTTAAAAAAAAAATTATTTCTCCCCCCACACTTTCGAATTTCCCCTCCCCTTTTTTCAAAATATTTTCAAAACTTTAACGAAATTGAAAAAAAAGCTTCGACCAATCTCTAGATCTTTTATTTGCAAATCGAACGGTTTATTACTCATTGCTGTAGCTTAAAAACTCTGGGAGGAAATAGGTTTGCAGTGACAATAAGTGTGAATGTTCAGTAGAGCGCGACAAAGTCCCGAGCGCATCAAAATAGGCATTCAAGGTGACATGGATGCAAGACTGGAGCCGAAATTCAGTCAAGGATAGTGGGAACGACTGCATGAGCACCATCCCACATGACAGCAGCCGGGTAACTAAAGATCAGCGTCTTCAGGTTGCATATTTATGTGCCCAACCAGTAATTTTTGCCTATATTAAATGTGAAAGAACTCCCCCACCCCTGACACTTTCACGAACTGTTGTCAAGGCATAAATCAACGTACAGAGATGATTTTGGTACCATTGGATAGGTCAGAATGTCAGCTTCAAAGTGAGACTTAAAACCGAAAAAGTGAATTTTACAATTTTTGTCCCAGAAATTCAGGGCGTAAAGGGTTAATAATATGGAAAAAGTTGAGGGGTGTCAGAATTACCCACAGTGTCGGAATATGGTGCATTTACCCTACAACATTTCTACAAAATGTGGGACAACTGTCCTGATATACCCTGCCTGTAGCTTATTACCCTGTTTGATGGTATGCAAAATATTTTACTGATCTATTCTTCATTTTTAATTTACTTTGTGAATCAAAATTAGTGTCCAACATAGTGAAATTCTAGGAAGGGAGGTACTTATGGCGCTCTGCCTCTTGGTCGAGCACTCCGGCAATTGGCATCTTGCAATGGTCTAAACCCAGCTCGGTCTAAACCCAGCTCGGTCTAAACCCAGCTCGGTCTAAACCAAGCTAAGTCTCTCCCAGTGGAGTTTCGAAATTTATTTTAATAATAAAATAAGATTTGAACTGTAAAATTGCTTAATGACTTCCATCAGTTGCCAAATTCCATCAATGATTGAAAAAATGACAATTACTCAGTACTGATCAGTTGCTGAGTCTGCGAGTCATCTTTCAGGACCCAGGCTCCGTTCACTGCATGAGTTCCATCCCTTTCAAGCTTTATGGTTCATACCACCATTGAAAAGAATGTCAATAATATCACAATCAAAAATATGCACAACGCCACTCACAATCGAATCTATAATTTGCAAGCAAATATCACAACACAGGAGTCAGGAGTCAAGAGCTTGTTGTCAAACCATGTACTGCCCTAAACGTTTTGACTCCTTGCTCAGCCCTGGCTGCCGGTCGCAGCTACCTTGTACAGTTGCCAGAGGCACGGTTCTTGACTGCCTTCCTGTAATAAGTATTACAGCCAGCTGCTGCTGCTATGGCCGGCTGCTGCTAGTAAGTACTACGGCCAGTATTAACTTATACTACAGTCAACAAAATATCACTTACTGCAATCCTGTGTGCCACAGTGTTCTGCAAAGCAGCAAAAGGCCAATGAATCACACTGAAGTTCAGAATGATTTTTTTTATTTAAAAAAAATAAATAAATAAAAAATAAATGATTTTTTAATTTTTTCACGATTTTTTTCAATTATTTGATTTTTTTCAGCTTTTATGTCTCTTTGAAGTGTTATTTTTTATGTTGCAATTAGTCTACTAACAATAACAGTATATGGATCATAATGGATGGCTAAAAATGGCACTTATTACCTTCAATAATGGCCAACAGGCCAAGGTGGCGTTTACCACTTAGGGATTTTTGGGTAAACAATTATTGATAAGTCTATTCATTAGCTTTGTAGTTTGAATGGAGCAAGGTAATGAGCTAAATATTGACCATTTAACTGGCTTCAATATACACAAACACTTCAGGAATGCAGATCTTCTAAACATTGAAGAGTCACATAACAGATAGCTGATTGCACAGTGCGCAGCACTATCAATAGATCTACTAGTTTCATGTCCTATAAAATCTACCAGACTCTACCCTCTATACACACCAACTAGTAGTGACTGAGTGACTGACTGCACTGTTCCCATTTAATTCAGACCACTAAACCAATACTAAACATAAACTGAACGATAACCAAAGAAACCTCATATGACGTGAAACGAGACTTTAGTTATGAGAAAGTCTAACACTGTTTGAAATAAACATGTGCACAATTCAAATATTATATATCCGTTCACTGCATTTAATTATTTTATATATAGTCTTATAATTGTAATTGTTTTGTTCCTAGTATTAAATTCCCATATTTAAAGATTGAAATTAAATATTTTAATTAGAATACCATACTTGTATTAGGGTGGAAAATCTTTCTAATTGCCTAAAAGGTCAATACAATCTAAACCTCTCAATATACAGAGTGGGGCAGAACCGATTGAGCAGTTTTGAGGTTAAATAAAAGAGTAATGGAGGTACATGTAGAAAAAGTTTATTTTCCTAGAGGTTAGCATAACATGCCATTTAGAATACTTATGTTTTGAAAACAATATCTGGAAGATGGGGGACGTTAGCTGCAACACACACTCAACAACACACTGTTTAACACAGCACTGTTATATATAAATTTAAAAAATCAATCCAACTTCTTATTATTTTTTAGACATTAAATTGAAAATTAGAATTTAGGTTACTATGTGTCTTTGATCTAAAATAAAATTATTTAAATTCCTAACTTGGGCCGGTGCCAGTCAAAACTCAGATATCACATGTCAGAAGCCCACTCTTCAAGATGGAATTCTAATTTCGAAGGTTAATATATTATTTTGATCCACCAAGACCACTTTTTCTACCCAACATCATTATTTGAGGCAAAAAATTAACTTCTTAAAGGCTTAAATCACGTACGCTAACTTGCTCAGTTTCTATAGAGTACCTAATCACTTGGAAGTTGTGTGCCTGCACCTTTCACTCAACAATTAAAATTAGACTTATAAAAGTATTAGTAAGTTGAAAATTTGTCTCTTAAGTTGACTGCAATGAACTAAACTTCATTAGGTAATTATAACTTAAGTTTTCCATCATTCCATTAAGTTTTCCATCATGCCCACTAAACATGCAAGTCAGAGTTCAGATGAGCAGAACTACATATCATGTGGGCTAATGTGCAACTGAATTAAATACCTAGCTTTTTTCCCGCATCCTGCTCCCAGTGCATAATCTAGCGGGATGATCAATGCGGACGGTAACTGTGGCGTCATTCATACGCCCGTTTCTCTGTCTCTGCCCATACAAAGAATAAGTAGCCAATGCAATCTTTTGTTGAACCTGTTAGGCCGTAAGTTAATCATACTTGTGACCTGGTACTTACTACACGGTACTCCTATACAAACTATGTAAGTCTAGGTAACCTATAGTAACTAAAAATCTTTCTTTATTGTTTTCTACACAATAGCATTCATTGTAAAAGCATGTTAACATTGTTTCTGGTTCTTGTGTATAGATATTTTGTATTAGTGTTTCATAGGTAATTTCCATAGTGGTTTTGTATCAGTGTCTCATAGGTAATTTGTTTTCAGCTTACACGTTTACAAGTAAAGTGAAGACCCCCATCCATCTTCTTTACTCCATACGAGTTAACTGCCCGAAAGAGCATATGACATGAACGGCTCGCTCGCAACAGTAACCGAGTCTGACTAATAATTCGTATACTTAGTGCAAGAGAATGTATAATTATGTTGTTTCTGATCAAACAAACAAAAAATTTTTCTGTTTCTGATCAAACAAACAAAAACTTCTGATCAAACAAACAAAAACAAACTTTTTGAAGATAATTCTGAAATGGTAACATCTATTGAATTCTAATACGGATCATTAATTTTAGCATCGTATTTCCAAAAATCAAGTATTGCATTTCTTTTCATTGAAAAACATTCTTTTACATCAAAAACAATGAATTTTTGTTACAGCTCCTCACGAATGACTAATGAATGCTCCTCATATTGACAAATGACAATCTCACTCATATAGCTAAAAACTTTAAATTGATCGATTTTGTCATTTCAAAGACTCCATTGATTACAGAACTTTAGTTTTTGCAAGTGTACGCAAGAAAAGTTTCTGAAATAGTAGGAAAATTTCCATTATCATTCTGAAATAAAAGCGTCATTTCCGTTCTCATATACAACAATTTTTTAATTATCATTTCTGATGACCAAATCTTGAATTGTTAGGCAGCATAAACATGCATGCCAAATTTCAACTTACTAGGATGTTTGGAAGTACCGTTGTTGCGGTCCGGTCAACAGGGGTTCACAAAAGCTATGTGAAGATTAGCTCAATCACCCTAAGATACAATACCTAGCTAAGCCTACCTCCAACCCTGAGAACAAATTTGGGACAATGAAACAGGTAATTCCCAAACAACACTATACTTAAACTAAGAACAAAACCAAGAGACATTGTTACAGGATAATTCCTAGGGCACCAAATATCATTCACAGGATAAGCTAGGCAACCACCCTCCAGAGGAAAACCCCGGAGAGGTGACTGCAGTATTACGTTCAAGAGCCGAATTTTACAATATGGTCCAACAGAACATCCTAACCTGTGACACAAGGGAATCAAAATTACAGTACGATATGCAATAGCCTAGAAGTCTTGGTTGGCATGGAGACAAAAAAAGGGTCCTGGAAAGGAGAGCATTAATAAATTGTGGTGATTTCTCAACAGTAGACTAGCACAGTAAGAGCACTCTTTACCTGGTCCACGGATCACCCTGATGTATAGTACTAAGGCAGTGTAGTTGCATCACTCTCATAGACACCACAGGCACACCCAAGCACTCCCCCTCACAACAACACCCCAGGTACTCACCGGTCTGGTAGAAGGGTTCCACAGAAGGTTACTGACCACAGGTGAAACGTACTGAGTAGCAGGAACCAGGAACCTCAAGAGAGGCAAGGACTGTCAGGACACTCACTATGCCTCCAAGTGAGTTAATGAAACCTAGACATTGGCAACAGAATAAGACACAAGGGTTACATTGGCTAAATAATAATGATTAAGGCTCTTATTCGACTTGGTCACAAGATTAGTCTATTAATAAGTTTGCTAACTAACTGTAAGAAAGTATCTGGCTAAACAAGCATATGAAAATGGAGCCTTGGTTGAATATGGTCACTGGCTAGCAAAATACAGAAACAAGCACCAATATTAATATCTAATCCTAGTCTGCAATACCGGAATTGAAGGTGACGGGTGCTAATAATGGGCACACATTTGAATGAGTCATCTACTAACACTATCTGCCAATAATTAAATCACTACAATCACATCACTTGTTGGGCGCACAACTGGTTAACTAAGTCATTGGTGGTCTGAAAGTCTAAGCCCCACTGTACTTAAAACAGTCGACATCAGAGCATATATCCCGAGTAACTCGCAAATATTGGTTTAAAACCAGTATATCCACATGAAATCATGAAATAGTTAAAGACTTGCTCATGAACAGGACTAATATGCAGGACTCATTTAGTTAAGTAATGATAACAAATCCTAGGTTGACATTTAAACAATGAGCTTCAGCAAGGTGATCTTCAAGGAGCTGCAGTTTGGAAGATGAGAAGACTCAGGACAGGAAGGTCAGGACGAGGCAAGTCTGGGTTCCAGGTCTTCTCAACAGCGTGCCAGCTGGGTCCCACACCGACTGCTCCTACCAAGTTAACAAAATAACGGGACTAGAGTCTATGGTCTTTAATGGCAGTTAAAGGGAATGTGTTCCTCAAATCAGGAGTATTTTGGTTTGGATTAAAACAAGCAATAACGCATAAATCAGCAACAACACAGAACAAATGTCCAAGCAACATGGCAAGACAAGAAAAGCAAGCACAGTATGGCAAGGCAGACACTTGATACAAGATCTAATAGTTGTAATAAATCAAATTCAATGTAAAAGCAATCAGGTAAGTGAATAAAGCAATTCAAAACAGGAACAAGGTGACATTAAACAGGTAAAAAGTAATAAGCAAGCTTTATTGCAGTAAATTAAGTGCATGAGTTTGAAAAGGAAAGGTATATTATTATTCTTGAGTTGATCAATTCTTAGCAACTCACCCTTAGGGAGCAGCTACGTTGCTCAGCAAGCAGGAATGGGTTGACAATGACTTCCAGTTCAAATGAGCTTCAGGCAATGGGTGCGGGTGAGGCAAGCAATAAGTTGCAGACAAGGATAACAAAGCGTGATTAGTGGTATGCTTACTAAGCTTAACCAAGACTTTTAATAGTGCATGCTACACTTTAAACATGAGGATAAGGCAGAAGCACTTGAACTTGTCAGACATTGCATAAAGTTGCATGCTCTAACTAGTGAATTATTGATGGAAAACAACACCTGAAACAAATACAAGGGAAGGAAACATTCATTAATAATAACAGTCACAAAAGCCCTAAATTAAATGGAAAGAGCAAACCATATTAGGAAGCATAACCTAAAGTAAGAAATACACCAAAGTGCCAGGAATGAAGAGTAAGAACCTAATAATCTAAGATTAAGCAAGAGGAGCAATATGCTCCTCTTCAGCGCGATTTCGGAAGCGGGACTGTTTCTAATGAGCTCCAGTTGATCTATTTTCATTGCAGTGGAAGGTGGTCCAACGCGGTGGTAGCTGGTAGGAAACGTAGGGTTGGTTTTTCGATACGTTTTCATATATGGACATGAGAATATATTACCTATACAGAATTCCATACTGATCCTGAGTCCTGACACTGATGAGTCTATGCCCAGGGGCAGGGTGCAGGCTGGAATTCTAAAATTTGTGGTTCACATAAAAAAAAGCGTTCTGCCTTAAAAAAATGTTCCATGCAACTAGAAACAGGTTTGCAGGCCATCAGAAATAGGCTTTGGTTGCGGTAGCTATGATCATATGAACGTCAAGTCAGGCAACACAGAGAAGGTCCCATGCAAGATTTTTAATTGCACGCGTCACCATGGTGGTTTTTTAGCAAATCCTTGGGCATTTAGCCCCAGCAGACTCCAGCAGGCACTCCGCAGGCAGTGGCGCTCCGAAGCAGAAAAAACCTAGATCCAGGTTTTTTGCTTCCCACTCGGTTTCTAGGTTTTTCATTAACAAACTGATCCTAATCTAATTTTTTTTCAGAATGGTGCGCTGAAAGCAGAAATCAGTCAACAGTTATAGCTAACTTAAGCCAAGAAAGGGAGAACTGCTACGAGACTTACGCGATGGAGATTGGAGCCATTTACAGGAGATATGAAAGTAGATTACTGGATGCATCATGCAACTATTCAGGAATGATTACGATTTACGAATAAATATTATTTACTAAGTTAGTAAAGTTACTATGCTCATAAAATGACGACTAGTGAGTAAGTTAGGACTTTTTTAGCACTCTAAGACTATTTTGTATTGAAAAACCGCTTGCACAACGACTGCTGTGAGCCAGGCAGTGTTATCTAGACTGTCAGCGTGGAAGGTTGTCTGCCGTGCGCGCGGGGGCTGCGAACAGCGAGCCGCCACTCCTCTAATTTAAGTTCGGCGTTCCCAAAACTCAAATTACCAAGGTAATTTAAAATTGATATGTAATTGCACCATGCGCGTCACTCACAGATGAGCAAGAGGGATGGATCTACAGAAGGAAATACTATTTACTCCCAACATAATAGTTTCAAATTAAGTATAAAAAAAACATTTATGGCACCTATTCATTACCTCAGCTTTCAAATTGAGGAGAAACTCATCGGCAGTTGGAGAAACTTCTCGAAGAAAAGGCAATGCACAACAAACAACATGACACTTCACAGTTGACTGACTAGAATAGACTCAATAGTCTATTCTAGTAGTACTTGAAAGTAGTACCTTGAGTACTACTTTCAAGTAGTACTCAACTACTAGTACTAGTAGAACTCGAAAGTAAAAAATTTAGCATTCAAACCTTTAGATTCTGTAAACCTTGTGATTTCTTCATTATTAATACCGGTACTTTAGAAGGCTCACAATATATCAAGTAAAGTTTTCACTCAATTATCGTCTTGAAGTTCGGGAGCTTTATCTGCAGTAATGTTCTGTAGTTACTTTACCCACCGACCACTATGCAGAGGGTGGATGCAGCATCGCCAATATATGGATTTTTAAGCCCAAAGCGTTGCCGGCCATTTTAAAGATGCGTCGCCGGGTAATTTTTAATGAAAAGCCATTTACGCTGAGTAATGATGAACTATTTAGGTACAAGCCACAAACTTATTTGCAAGGTTGCTTGCACGTGTTACCCCAAATAACTAATTTTCCCCTAAAAACAGTCCGATTGTACAGCAAGTGTCAACTGAACATGTAATAAATAAATATAGCAGTCTGACTGCTCTAATGTGACCGAAACTACGCAATCAAAAAAAATGTTGTTTACATTTTTTGCGGGAACTCATCGCAACTGATTTCCGGACAAGCTTCGCTGCACCGTAATCCATCCAACGTACCGGAAACCTTACTTTTTTTCTAAATAGTTGGCCGAAGACTGAGAAATATATTAAATGCAAGAATTTCAATCTAAATGTGTCAGCAAGATCTTCTGAAGGCGAAAATTTGGCTACTGAAGCGTCGCCAAAGAAATTGCAATATTCATCCACTCTCTGCACAGTGGCCCACCGATTGCTTAATGAGAACTAACCACTACACTAACCATCATTACATTCCCGCCACTGTTGCACACGATTGATTCTGCATGCATGTATAATATTTATGAAGATTATTAAACCATTCTGATTTCTGTTGAATGTCAGTTACTGATAAATTTTTAATGTAGAAGAATTCGTATCTTTCATTTTTTCACATGACCATATTGATGTCGGTTTCACATTGGTTGCCAGTGCGGTTGGTATCCCTGCTACCTTCTTTGTTTACGTTTTTTTGTTTGGCTGATTGCAACGAAAGGAGATTGTATGTCTCAGCTGCTTGCATCGGTGGTCAATTTTGTATTTGTGGATTGAATCATAGGCAGTTTTTCATGTATTTGTGAGTAAGTGTACATAGTGAAGATGTTATTCTTTGTGATTTCCATCATTAATGACATAACTACACTATTGTATTATGCTCTTGAAATAAGAATTGTAGCATTACGCATTAAGTTAGCATCAGTGTGTTAACATTGTGTGCATTTGAGGCGGTCCCTTCTAGCTTTCTATCGCTGATTGGATTCCAGTGGCTGTGATGTTGCACATGTTCTAGCAATGATTGGATCCCTGTGACAGTACGTTGGATGCGTTCAAGCGTTGATTGGATTCTTGTGACTGTTACGTTGGACGCGTTCAAGCGTTGATTGGATTCTTGTTACTGTGATGATGCAAGCACTTTTTTTCAATGAAACAGCTGTGGCATCTTGCAGAGACTCATCAGTGATGAAGATGGGCTGAAAGTGGAAGTGTGCTGGATGTTCCAGATTTTTGGGTCCTGCTTTCTGATTTGCTATGTTTACCAGTTAATATATTACCCCTCTGGATTTCCACACTGTCAAAGTGCAGACTGCAGAAGGTGGATGCAGCATTGCCAATATATGGGTTTTTTAGCCCTAAGCATTGCCGGGTAATTTTAAGATGCATTGCCAGGTAATTTTTAATGAAAAGCCATTTACGCTGAGTAATGAAAAACTATTTACAAGCCACAAACTGTCAAACTTATTTACAAGGTTGCATGCACATGTTACCCCAAATAACTAATTTTACCCTAAAAACAGTCTGATTGTACAGCAAGTGTCAAGTTGTCAACTGAACATGTGATAATGCAGTCTGACCGCTCTAATGTGACCGCAAGTCCGCAACTACATAATCGTAAACTTGATGTTTACATTTTTTGGCGGGAACCCACACTCAGGATGATGTATGTTTTCGGTGAATTTTCCCGCGCATTTTCACTTTTTTTAAGCTATTGCTGTGCACAGTTGGCGCAATGTAATGAAAATTGATTCGCTTCGCGCACGTGTTCGCGCAATCCTGGCCATCAATTCTACGTCACGCTGCCGCGCACAAGCAGTTTGTGGAGAAACAGACGTAATACTCACACTACTCAGTACAGTATGCCTTTAATTACCTTTCAATAATATATGATTTTTCTTGATACGGAAATTTGGTGAATGAGAAATCTAGAACTTTATTTTAGAAGAAATTTTCTCCAAAGTCATATGGCAACACTGAACACCGTCTGTTTACCTTTCGTATGTATAATAGCCGCAGTTTACGATTACCGTACGTTCCGTATCCGACAAGGCGGACAAGCGGAAGAGTCAGAAGTAAGCCGGACATGTCTTACATTTTATTATTGTCAGTTCGACTCTCGTAGTCAATATACTCGAGTATATTGTCGACTAAAATAGTAGAACTATTTTAGCTTTCTAAAGTACGGCGCACGGCGCATTTTTTTACCAGCATAGTACGACGCACCGCGCAGGTCGTTAAAATGACAAAATAAATTCCCGCGCACCTGGCACATCTTCCTGACCATGGGTGGGAACTCATCACAACTGATTTCTGGACAAGCTTCACTGCATCTTGATCCATCCAACATACCGGAAACCTTACTTTTTTATATAGTTGGCCAAAGACTGACAAATATATCAAATGCAAGAATTTCAATCTAAATGGGTCGGCAAGATCTTCTGAAGGCGTAAATTTTGCTACTGAAGCGTCGTTAAAGATCTTGCAATATTCATCCACTCTCTGTACAGTGGGTCTCTGCAAGATGCCACAGCGGTTTCACTAAAAAAAACAGCGCTTTCATCATCACAGTAACAAGAATCCAATTAATGCTTGAATGCGTGTACGCATCCAATGTAACAGTCACAAGAATCCAATCAATGCTTGAACGCGTCCAATGTACTGTCACAGGGATCCAATCATCGCTAGAATGTGTGCAACGTCACAGCCACTGGAATCCAAATAGCGACAGAAAGCTAGAAGGGACCGCCTCAAATGCACACAATGTTAATGCAATGATGCTAACTTGATGCATAATGCTACAATTCTTATTTCAAAAGCGTAATACAATAGTGTAGTTATGTCATTATTGATAAAAATCGCAAAGAATAACATCTTCACTATGTACACTCACAAATACATGAAAAACTGCCTATGATTCAATCCACAAATACAAAACTGACCACCAATGCAATCAGCTGAGACATACAATCTCCTTTCGTTGCAATCAGCCA